ATAAAATCTATGGAAAATTGAGAAAAATGTTGTATTAAAAATTTAATTAGTAAGAAGTAATTGATAAATTTTTATATACTAAGTGTAAATATTATAGATATAGAATGCTTGTATTATGATTTAAATCCTTCTCATGAATTATATTTTTAATAGGAGGACTTTTTCTCAATTTTTCCTAAAATTTAAATATATTATTTTAGTTTTAATTATTCTTAAAAATAACTATTTTTATTTTTATAATTATAATTTTAATTAAATATGTATCATTCAATAAAATTTATGTCATTTTCAGTCATTTTATATCTAAACTTACTTTTACATTTATCATCTAAATAAGTTTTAGCTTCTCAAATTGGCTTTTTTAGAAAACTCAATCCAAACATAAATCACATTATACTATATGACTTTTACTCAATCTGACTTCTATAAAAGTCAGATTTAAAAAAAGTTACTTCTGTCATTGCTATCCCAAACACACCCTACCTCATCAGCACCTCCATAAAAGAACTACAAGACTCATCAACAGCACTGATTAGATTCTGCTTTTCACTTCATGTTAAGTTTTTTTTTAAATTTTTGTAATACTTCATGTTTAGTTCTAATGAATGAGCCTAGTCCCCCCCCCCCGGTTTTTTTTTCCTCTTCAGCTTATTAATTATAGGGTTAAAGTACGCCCAGCACCCCAAACTATTTTTCCAAGTGCATCCAGTGTTCTAAAGTAATTTTTGGTGCGTCCAGTATCTCAAACTAATTAAAACGGTGCATCCAATGTCCCAAACTAATTAAAACGGTGCATCCATATCCCGAGCTAACAAAAAAGTTAAGTTTGACCGTTAGTTGACCGAAAAATCTGACATGACGGATAGTAGGTGTCTGATGTGTATTATTTTGACGAGTTAAGGTGCGCATAGCACCCTGAACTATTTTTCCAGGTGCGCTCAGTGTCATAAACTAATTTTTGGTGCATCCCGTGTCCCAAACTAATTAAAACGGTACGTCCACATCCCAGGCTACCAGGCTAACAGAAAAGTCTCGTTTGATTGTTACCTTGTTGATTTAGCCAAGGAACAAAAAACCAGACCGGATACTAAACCGGTTGAGGTAGTGGTTCAAGGGTTAATGGGTCAGATCGGGGTCAACTCGGGATCAAACCGGTCATATTAAAATAATATAATTTAATTAAAAATGACAAAATATAACAATACTAATAATTACTAATAACAAAATATAAAGAAATACAATAAGAATTTGATTGTAATAATAATAAAGTATAACAATATTGAGAATTTTGATCTTTATAATTTTTCAATAACTAAAATTAATAGTTATTGATACCAAAGTCATCATCAAAATTCATTTAAATCTATAATAATTGAGATATTAGGAGTTAAATGAGAAAAAATAGGACAAATGTCAATATATTTATTTAAACCGGTTCATACCGGTTTTTACCGGTTCACACCGGTTTGACCGGTTCAATCCGGTTTGAACCGGTCCCCGGTTTAGCTTATGAACCAGACCAGACCATTGATCGGTTCATCGGTTTACTGATTGAACCGGCCGGTCCGGTTCAATTTTTTTACACTGGATTCAGCTGAAGGTTGACCGAAAAATCCTACATGACGGACACGCAGGCGTCTGATGTGTATTATTTTGACTGAAAATTCAATTTATTTCCTCCTCTTCTAACATTTATCTTCTGCCAATTTTTAAACTTAAAAAAAAGAAAGACCATCTATCCACCCTCTTAAATCCTGGTACATGTACCACCCATTCAACCCCATCCTCGTCTTTAACATTTTATCCCATTTCTTCTACCACTCCAATTTGAAACCACAACCGCTATCACAGCACATTTCCATCTTCATCTCTGTCGACTCCTCATCCGACTCGCATTTGCTTCCCTCCTTGTAGAACACAATAAACTTCTCCTTGGTCACTCCATCGACATCGTCGTCGCCTTCTGAGAAAACACCCGCCACCACCGGGCTTGTCTCGGGAGCTTTAGTCAAAATAATACACATCAGACGCTTGCGCTGAATCAGCAAGGTAACTGTCAAACAAGACTTTTCTGTTAGTCTGGGATGTGGACGCACCGTTTTAATTAGTTTGGGACACTTGATACACCAAAAATTACTTTAGGACACTGGGCGTACCTGGAAAAATAGTTCAGGATGCTAGGCGCACCTTAACTCGTCAAAATAATACACATCAGACGCCTACGTGTCCGCCACGTCAGATTTTTTGGTCAACTAACGGTCAAACTTAACTTTTCTGTTAGCTCGAGATATGGATGCACCGTTTTAATTAGTTTGGGACACTTGATGCACCGAAAATTACTTTAGGACACTGAGTGTACCTGGAAAAATAGTTCGGGATGCTGGGTGTACCTTAACCCTTAATTATATCCAATACTTAAGTTTTCAAATTCTTTTCATGTCTATGATTTCTTGTTTGCATCAGGTCTCATTTCTCCTAAGTTTTTAAACTTCACGCTCATTTAAAGTTCCATTTTAATACTTGACTGAAGTACCCAAATTTGATGGATTATACAAGTGGGAACTGGGAACCATAAGTTCGTACAGTTTTCAATGGCAAATTGAGATCGTAAGCATAAAATTTAAACCAAAAAACCCACAATCGAATCTGCTTGAAACAAAAGTATTTATCCGAATGCTACATTTTAGTGACTAAATTGGGAATTAGGCATCGAAATTGTTATGTAGTTGTGTGTTCCAACTTCCAAGGACTGCTGGAAGATGGATCTTTACAAGCATAATTCCCCAGAAAGGAAAAAAAGGTTAATAACAACTATACTAATTTGCTTTAAAACAAGTTTGGCGGCGACTTGTAAGTTCATGGATCAATGCATCAATATCCGCGTAAGAAGTGCCTCCTTCATCGACAGCTCTTCTTGCTTTGGCTGCAATGTCTCTGATTCTCTCTCTCATCTCCTCTGCTTCTTCACTCTTAGTCATCACTTTCTTCACCGCCTTCTCCATTTTATCTCTCCTCACTAGCTCTCTCCGTTCATCCTGCCATGAAACCCACTCTCGACTTCCCACCTCCGCTCCAACCTTCAAAACCCTAGTGACCAGCTTCTCGTTCGTAAATTGCTCCGCCGATAACGGCCACGTTATCATGGGAACCCCGAACTCAACCCTTCCAACGTCGAATTCCACCCACAATGTGTCATAAATCCCCCCACTGATTTATGTTCTAGTATCAAAAGCTGTGGAGCCCAACCCCTTATGATCAAACCTCTGTTCGTTTCTTTCATTCTCTGTTCGAACCCATCTGGGAGCCAATTGTATTCACCCTCTTCCTCTGTTTCGGAGGATTTGAAGATTTTCCCTATAACCCAAATGAATGGTTGATCGCAAGATTCAAGTGCATATGCAATTTCCTTGAGCTGTTCTCGGGGCAATCGAGCTAAACTCCCGAAGCTGATGTACAGAACTGACTTGGGTTCTTTTGAATTCAGCCAATTCAAACAGGATTGTTCGTCAATTGTAGGAATCTTTCCTCTCTCTGTTTTATCCTCTGTGTTTTTGTTACACAGAGATACAGGTCCTACGAGCCATACTCTCGTCTTTATAACATTTCTAAGGTAATCAGCATAAGTGGGTTCCAAATCGTAGAAGCTGTTTGTCACGGTCCCGAAACTATTCTCCTCTGCTTTCTTCCTCCGACCGAATCCTTGAGATGGGTCTTTGATAAATGGCGGAAGCTGCGACCTCGTCAGTTCAATCGGGTCGGGGAGACCCGGAACTACAAAGGGCTCTAAATCGGAACCCAGTTTCTCATGCGGACCATAGTTTGTAACGTTGTGGAAGACACAGCGAGAGAAACACCCACTGCCGTGGAAGACGATCCTTGGGATTCGGAGCTCGTCGATGACATCGGCAGACCAGCGATGGAACATGTCGACGACGATAGCATCAGGACGGAGATCCTCGAGGAGTTGTCGGAGAGGTTGTTGGAGGACAGAGGTGTCTGTGGCGGGGCCAGCGGACATGTCGACGTCGGAGACTTCAACGTTGGGAGGCAGAGTAAGAATACTGATGGGAAGGCCGGATTGTTGGTGTCGAAAGATGGATTTGTGGAACTGAAGGGAGTTAGAGAGGGTGGTGATGATGATGGAGTTGGCTCCGCCATGAGATGCGAAAGCTATTGCGGTGTCGATCATGGGGATCTGATGGCCTCCTCCCACAAAAGGGAAGAAGATCATCTGTACAGGAGAGGTTGCAGAAACCATAGCTTCTGAGAAAGAAAGGAAAAAGGGGAAGTTGAAGTGATGAATTGAGAGGTGATTTACTACATAAATAAAGCTTACAATATAGCGAAGATAGATAGTGAAAGTGAGGAAAAGGGTAGGGATGAAACGTCATGAGTAACATACAAAAGCTTCTTATGAGTAACTATCAGCGAGAGATAAATAGGAGATTCTGACCCTGGGGATTAATAGGGACATTTTAATACTCTTTGGTTACTTAATATAAAACTTACTTAATTAATTTTATTAAATTAAAAAAATTAGATAAATTAATTAATTATAAAAAATATGATATATTTTTTTTAAAACATCATAATCATCTTTCTTAACATCTTTTATTTCTTCCTTTTTCTACTTGATTATGATTGAGAAAGTATTTATAAGAATAATTTAGAAAAAATTAATAAATATGAAAAATAAATCTTATATTTAGAACTAAAATCAACTCAATAATTAGGTTTTATATTAAATACCAGAAGAGTATCTACTAAAAGGTCAAAAAAAAAAGAAAAGAACGTGCGATATTTTCCGGCCAACGTTTACAATACCTATATTGGTCAAATATGCTGATATTGATTAACATGCCTTCCTAATCATCCCATAACACAAGCATTGAATATTGATCTCTATAAGTAACTGGTATACAACGGTTCTGAATGCTGGAATCTATTATATAGCATCAAAGAGGAACTGGACTAATGACTACAAAACGCTAAGCAATCCTACCCAAAATATCGTAAAAAGCCCGTGTAACTTGTCAACATTGTGTATCAAGGAAGCAGATCGATCAATCCCCACCTTCCGCTAAATCGTAGAAGTAGCCCATTGAAAGGTCAGTAAAGAACATCAAAAGTTGCCTTCAGCTCCACCAATGGACTCTCAGCCTTATCCACAGATTTGCTCAAACGACACTCCTGAAACCACTACATGGGCTTCTCATCACTCTCACTAGCACGTTTTGATTGTAAAGCTGCTCTTACGATGTTCCCCCTTGTAATAAGTCCAACCTGAATAACAATAAAACAAAGATCAATGAGAGAAAACAGCAGGACTCAAAAGAACGAAGCTTTTAACAGGAGATGCACAATCTACTTACCAGTTTGCCATCTTCATCTACTACAGGTAATCGGCGATATTTTGTTTCAAGCAACAACCTAACACGAGAAGTGATGAGGTCAGATATCAAGGAACTCGTGCTGATAGATTCCTCGGAAACTTGTGAAATCAAAAGTGGCACTAAGTTGACAACAATGATCTTATAAATAAGAAGAAAATGATGAGTTAGAAATACAGAGATCAAAGACAGAAGTCAATGGCATGGGCCTGGTATGCGAAATCCTTACCTGGCAGCATCTTCCAGATTAGTGGATTTATGAACAACAAGTGGGGTTGGCGTCATTAAGTCCCCCACAACTTTGCCATTTGTCTTACTAAGAAGCTTTTGTATCTCATTGAATGTCTGCCATACAAACAGTAATTAGAAACTGCAGAATGCTAATACTGGTGACTGCCAACTGATAAGGCACACAAGTACAATTTCTCATCTGTTCCATATATAATTCTAGTTATAGATGCAATCTAGTTGTACAAGAAAATCGGTTTATATAAAAATACTGCTTACACAGATATGTGCTGCCCTCTTACCCTATTATCCAGTGAGTTTAAAATGATGCAAGACTGAAAACGAGTTTGTTACCTCAAGCATGTTATTAATGGCTCTTCCGGAAAATACATAAACATGTACAATTCCTCTTCGCAGAAAACAAAGACAGGAGAGAGGGAATAATTGAGGAGAAAAAATACTATATTGCGAATTATGAAAGCAAAAGAGATGAAGTTTAATTTCCTTCATTTATAATTAGTAGTAGTCCATCAAGCATTTCAGGAAAAAAAAAAAAGTGCTACACCCTGAAGGCAACATATATAACAGATACTGGCTGATATACAATGGAAAGAAAATGTCAACAGGGTTTGGCTTTCACTGTTCATAAATTCGGATGTTCATGTATGTTCTCATAAAAAGAATTTGTGCATAGGTGCAGAGTGGCGCATAGTTAAACTGTCCAAGCGCTCAGTCCAAAAAAAAGAAAAAACCCTGTCCAAGTGCAACGTTGTAAATATCATCATTACCATAAACCCAACTACCCTAATGTGAACATAATAGATCTCGCATCAAACTTATCAACGACGTTGCCATAAAACAAATAACTTTTATTCAGTGACTTAGTGTTTCGTCTAACATTAAGTAAAATAGTCTGATAATGAAATATTTCAGGATTGACAGCAATGCTATGGAACAGAGCAAAATTTCACAAAGCAGTACAATAAAAACATAAACAACAATCAAGAAGACATACTTTCCAAGAACTGTCCACATCAGGAAACATGTTTGTTTCACATTGACTGCCACCTAAAGCAGAAGAAAAGAAAAAACAGAAACGAAGGAAAGAAACATTAGCGCCAAATTTGCAATATACACCGGAAAAAAGAAAAAAGAAAAAAGCAGACAAGAACAACATCTGAATCTCTCTGATTAGTTCCAGAATAATATAAAGGGTGAGACTGACATCTGCCTGATGATAGTGTCCAGTGGCCATCTACCATCAAAGAGACTGTGTCACAGACTTCTCTAGAATAATTTAACAGTATAATTAACAACAATGATCTATAAGGGCATAAAGTTTCGTCCAAAATTTACACTAAAAAGTATGCACCATCGTTCTCCGATCTATGAGATGAAATACTATTTCGACTTTCTAATTAAAAATGTCTATATTACCTGATATTGAATCGATTGCTAACAAGTCATAATCTGAGACAACGCCAACCTGCAACCCAAAAAAGAAATCTCAAATGAGAAATTGAAACAATGGAGTCCCACCATGCACCAAGTAAGAGCAAGAAGGACCAAGTCAGGGGCAAAACGTACAATTTCTCTCAACTATACGCTTATCGATTTAATACTAATAATCTTAAAAGCAGCAGCTTAAATATTATAATTCTCCAATAATGGCCTTCTTAACAATTTGATCATATTTTTTATTCTTAACCTGCGCCTCAAAGGAGACAGGTAGCCTGTTCACTCAAGTGATCTTCAGGAAACGAAGTTGATAAAAAAAAAAAGAAAGAATTTAAAAGAGGGAGAAGGCATTAAAATTAAATAATGAGAAAAAGAAAGCTTGATCTGGCAAAAAGAAAGAAAGAAAGGAAGGTTGATACTGTCCGTTCATAAGAAGCCATAAGCCACGCAGTATATTCATAATTTACCACATTTAGTAGGATAGTACAAATGCTTGTTGACTTGTTCTCGTTATTACTGTTAACAAGGTCAAATCAATTTAAAAATTACCAAATTCCATTCATCATCGATTACGGGAAGACCACTGATCCTGTTATTAACGAGAGCCTCCAACGCTGTAACAAAAATAAAAAGCACATGATCACTACGGAAAAGGGAAGAACCACACAACACAGGGAGAGCCATCCTTATCAATTCGTAGTAGTACCAACCTTCCTCAACAGTGGTGGTGATTTTCACAACGTGCAAGTTTTCCTTCTTCGTCATGAAATCAGCCACTCTGTATGTTCCATTCCTACGCTGAAAATTTAAAACCTACATTAAAAAACCAGAACATGCATGCACAGAAAAAAGGAAAAAAAAAAAAACAAAGGACAGAGAGAGAGAGAGAGATAACAACGACAGGTAAGGTATTGATCCGTACTGGAACAGAATTGATGCGGGGGCCAGATGACCCGAGAGCCATGGGGAAACGTCGTCGTTTAAGGAGGGAAGACGCGAGCTGGGAATGCCCAGAATGGCATTGGTGGAGTTGGTGAATGAAAAGGGAAGAAGCGACAGAAAAGCGAGTAAGAGGAAGCGTGGCGGTCAAATTAATGGAAGCCATTAATTAAATTGAAGAAAGATCTTTGAAATCTGGTTTGAATCGAGAGAGACTCTGAAGTGGGAGAAGAGAATAAACAAAAAGGAATCGCGCTTACGCTGTATAATACGATCGGAGAAGAATATAAGGAGAGATCAAAGTAGGAGGCAGGGAGAGAGTAGAAGCCGTGCACGTACTTTACTTTTCTGATTTCGCGGGCGCTGCTCTAATTCCGTTGAACGCGGATTCTCCCACCACTTGCGCGAGAAAAGTCGGTGCCCCCGAATTGGAGACCCCCAAAATAATTTAAATTAATTAATAAAGTGATTATTTAATTATATTTATATGTTAATTTATTCTTTCTATAGTTAAAAATCCAGGGAAGACAGCACTAGGATGAATAATGAGAGCAAAGAAAATGACTTGAGAAGCTCAGTTGGAAGTCAAGAAAACTCAGTTAATAATTATGAGAACTAATAAGTTCGAATTAACTTTTAAGTTTTAACTGTTAAATATTTTTTTCTCAGAGATATAAAGTATCATTTTTGTCGTGAAACTTGAAGTGAAATAAAAATATCTTTGGGAGGGTGCTTATTTTTGTTTAGATCTAATAATAATGCTCAAGTTAAACGTGATAATATTAGATGCCAGACACTATATATATAAGAAAAGAATTACTGATTATTATAGTAATGAAATCTTCTCGTTTTGGAAAGAAAATGTTATTTATTTAAAATCCAAACTTAAGGCTTAGGAGCTACTCCCTCTATTTTTTATTACTAACTCTGAACCTTAATATAAAAGCTAGTTAAGTAATTTGAGTATATTAAAAAAGTTTTTAAAATTAATTATCTATAATAAATAGATATTGTCTTTCTTAAAATACTCTTACTAATCACATGTATTACATGGAACTTCTAGTTGATAGAATATTTAACATGTGTAATTACTACAAAGCTTACTTTTAAAAAATAGATAAATATGAGAGACAAAGTGAATTAGGATTTTATATTTAAAACCAAATTAAATATCAAATTAGCTCTTATATTAAAGACCTAAAATAGTATAAGAGACAATTGTGAAACATGTCATGTTCTTTTTTTTTTTTTTTTAATAAAAGACACTTAGAAGTTGTCTCAAATTTTGCTAGTTGATTTTCTATTTGACTCTGTTTAATTACTCATATTACTCATATCATTACATTTAATTCTCACATATTTTCTCTTTCCCACAATCGCACATTATCTTTTTTTTCCTTATCTATGAGAGTATTTTTGGTAAAAAGATTACATTTTTTATACATTTATTGTTTTCAATTACTTTTGACCAACATAATTTAATTAATTTTCTCTTATAATAAGTAAATCTTAGTACTTCTAACAAGAGGCCAGTTAAAAATATTACAAATAAGTTATAAAAGGGTTATGACCAAGATGCCTATAAAAGGTGTTAGCATGAATTATGGCAAGAACTCGATTTTGATTTTTTTTGGGGGGGTCCAAAAAACCCATGCAACTCATGAGGAATCTATGTTTAAAATATTAAATTAAATCAGTATATGCCAAGATTCCATTTTCAACGAATGTCTTATAATAATTAATCCTTAATTCCTTCTAAAACATTGAACCGTGTTGGATCATTTTTTTTAAAGACATTTATGATATTTTTAAAAATTAAATTAATAGTCAAACAGCAATTAAGAGAGAGCCAAATCAAAACAAAAGACGCAGAGAAAGGGGAGAGGGCGAAAGTGGTGGTTGGGTTTTGTCTTGTTCTGTTTTTTCCTCTCATTCTTCCAACGGAGAAAATTAATCAGGTTTGGAAATCTTCAAAATTCAAATTTGACGAACGGGGCGTTGTCATTTTCCGTTTTCAGTTTTCTAGAAGCATTGCTCCTCTTATGGTTATTAGTGTAAGAACCACTTAATTAATTTCAAAGAATTTTTAAAAAATAAATAAGCTGCTTAATTTTTAAAAAATTGATATAATCTCTTTAAAGTATATCTACATATAGTTGAATTATATTTTTTTATAAAACAATAATTAACAAATATAAAGTAATGAAAGTTTTACATTTATTCAGGTTAAGAAAAAAGGAGAAAGTTTAATATTTAGAAAATAAAGGAAAAATTAATTTTTGTCCTCTAAATTTTACTATCTTCTATCCTAATTATAAAACCTCATTTATAGTCTACAAACGAAGCCTTATAATTAGGACCGGAGGTAGTAACTCACTTATAATTCAATATTTCAATTATCACTCGATACAACTTAGCCTCTAAACTTTTAACTCATTTATAACTCAGTTTCTAATCTTTCTAAATTTAATAATTTAATCTTTATCATACATAATTTGTTTAATTAATCATTTAATTAACCTGCAAAGCAAAATATTACTCAACTAATTAATTATCTCCTCCGCTTCTTCTCCCATTCCCGCAAAAATACAGTCTTCTTCAACCCCTAGCTACTATCGACGCCCGGCGTGCCTCTCTTACCCCTCCAACTACCTCTCTTCCTCTATCTCCCGGAGACCACTGCCCGACGCCGTGTGCTCACTTTAACATTGCTGACATAACAAGGATATATATATATATATATGTATATGTATATGTATATATAGATCTCTGTGAAGTGATCTCTTGGTTCTGACCTCCTTCTTCGCCATATGTACATAGAGAAAAATATAAATATATACGTACATATGGATCTCTGTGAAGCGAGCCCTACACCTGAGAACTATTGAACCAGCCATTTCAGATGATAAGAAACCCAGAAGCCGATTCAATTCCTGAATTAGGTTCCTCCATGAATAAACTAGGTTCCTTCTCTAAAGAATGTCAATCACTCGCTGAACACCTTCACCCAATTCTGATGACCCTTCATTTCTCCCATCAATGCGCGGGATACATTGTGGGACCATATCTGTTGAAACATGTCATTAACGTTTTCATTTTTATAAGTTAGAAAAAATAGTTTCCCATGGATCACCCAATTCAGTGCTGCCAGTATGATGATGAAGCCATGAATCACGACTACGAAGATAACAATACTCATATGTTTAACCATGGTGGGGTCAACAAGGGCGGCGATCTGTGGGAGATAGAGGAAGAGAGGATGTTGGAGGTGCAGGTGAGCAACGGAGGGTATCGGACCTCATCGGCGTCAGGGTTGAAGAAGGATGTGTATATGGGAAAGATCCAGTTTCGGTGCTCATTGTATTTTAAATTCGGACCATTCAAATCAAATACAGACAGTTTAGATCTGATGAGATTAGGATGAGTATTGAAAAACTTGTTTCATGTGGGAATGGGGAGAAGAAGTAGAGGAGAGAGAATTAATAGCCACATAGGATATAATTAGTTGAGCAATATGTTGCCATGTAGGATAATTAAATGATTAATCAAACAAGTTAGGCATGATAAGGATTAAATTATTAAATTTAGAAAGATTAGGGACTTAGTTTTAGGGAAGTTAAAATTTTAGAGAGTAAGTTATATCGAGTAATAATTGAGGGATTATGTTATAAGTGAGTTGAAATTTAAATGGCCAAAAGATTAATTTTGATTCCTGTAATAAAACTTTGAATTAATGTATAACTTTATCTTGAAAGTTTTTACTTAAATGAGCTAAGCACTCTAAAGCTTTTTTAGGTATGTATTTGTAACAAAAATTTAAAATTATGGCAATACTATTTCTTATCATTAAAAATGTTAATGATTTTAATAATATGAAATAATATTGCTACCATATTAAATATTTAGGACAAATTTACACTCAATAAAACTTTTAGGTGCTAAATATTTTTAAATAAAAACTTTTTAACTAAATTTGCACCTTAGCATTCTCAACACCGAACGCGATGTAGGAGAGCAGCAATGGTGACAGAGGCTTTTGCAAAACCATGTTTTTTCTGAGTATGAATATGTAATTTTCCAAACAACCCATTTCGAGTCATTTGTTTGATTTTTCAAAAACTCTAAATTTGAATATTCTTGTTTATGCATGTGAGTGCTTTTTCAAAAATTTTAATGCATGTGAGTGTTTTTTCCCTTTAAATTTGCATGTGGATGAGATGAAATTTCCATCTTGAACGTCTCAGAAAAATAGCATATTTTTTTCCTTTTTCTGAGCAAAGTATGATTGAGTATTATATATATGATTTTATTTAAGGCTGATCATGATTATCTGAAAAAAAGTTGTGTAAATCTCTAACTCCTTTGTGGAGGGTAATTTTCACTATGATCACACATGACAAGAACTTTGGGAACAACTGTCCATTTATATAGCACCAAAATCGATACTCCTCCCATTCTTAATATAGAATTAAATTATTAAGTTAATTTTGATTCTAAATATAATATTTACTTTTCATATTTATTAATTTTTTTAATTACCCCTATGAATATTTTTTCAATCATAATCAAATAAGTGAAGGTGAAAGAATATTAAGAAAAATAATTATAATATTTTAGAAAAAACATATCATATTCTTTATAATTAACTAATTTACCTAACTTTTTTAATCTAATCAAACTAGTTAAAAAAATATTATATTAAAGACCAGGGGAGTATTTTATCCCCTCATTTTAAATAGAGAAATCGTTTCAAGGGGCTGAAACGACAACACCTATATTGATATGATAATTTTTTAATTGTGTATAATTATACTCCTATTAAAATTTATCCTATTTAAAATTTTATTGCAAGCTAAATATAAGCATTTTTTTAATAAAAATTTAAATATTAACTTTGTAGGCTGGCCTAAATTAAGTGTTAGTTACTGATATGATATTCTTGTTGCTAAATTTAATTGATGTGGATGTGGAGAGGTGCTAGCGGATGTTGATTGACGCTCTAGAAAAAAAAAAAAATTTTAAAAAACTTCAATCGAAGCTTAAAAGTGTCTGAAACTTTGGTCGAAAAAATTGAGTAATTTAAAACTTTATCAACGGATGGGTCGATAGACCTGAATTTTTAAAATTAAAAGAAAGTCAATATGACTTAATTTTTTATGTTAGGATGCATTAAAAAAATTTATTTTTTAATGCTTATAGATTTTCAAAGTAAAATGAAGGCGAGGCTGAGCGGGGATCAATCGAACGTGCAAATTTCTTAAATTAAGGATTTTATTTTTTTGAAAAGAAAAATTTTAAAAACAATAAAGTATGGCTGGTAAAAAAAAAACAATAAAGTATGTAATTATGTGCAGTATTTTTTTTAAAAAAATCATGTATATTAAGTTATTAGTTATTACTTGTTACAAGGCCTCACACAGTTGACACTATTCATCAAGGATCTAGTTAGAGGTTTGATACCTGATTTTTTAAGTTCTATTTTATTTTAATATTATTCATTCATTTAATAATAAGAGAGAATAGCATGAAGGGAATGCGAGTTAATTTCTTTTGATCTCACTCAGAGACAGTAGACAACCAACTCTAAAAAGGATTCGTTCATATCAATTTTATTTTGATCCACTTTTTAAGTTTTGACATTTTTAAATTTTACTTTTAATTTAAATTTATAATCGAATGATGTGATTCATATAGAAAATTCCTCGATTTTAATAAAATAAAATAAAATATTCTTGAAATAACATATTAATAACCTGGAATCTTCACCTCCCAAACCTCGGTGCTTTCTTTCTCAGTTTCTCAGTGGTCTGCGAAATCCTCCGGTGTTGCCTTATTGGCTTCTCTACCTCACATCGCCACCAACAGGAAGACATCGTCATCTGGGCCCCACAGCATCTCAGATCGGACGGTTCCCATCGGCCTCCCTAGGGTTTACGCCTTCTTCCTTTTTTCGATATACCTCTCTTCCTTGCGTTTCACACCCCCCCCCCTATCTCAGTGCAGTTTAACCTGCCCTCTGGTGCACACCACCCTTGTTTTAACCAGTTCGTTATCCTCACGCGCTGCCGCCCCCGGTGGCCACTCCTATTTATCGTCGGATCTCCGACCGTATCTATCCGTCACTCCCTTCCCTCTCCTCCTCGCTCTTTTCGTTCTTCATTAAAAAAAAAAAATCATAAAGAAAAATATCCGCTATAGCTATCAGCTTTGTGCCATTTTATTCTTCTCGTTCACTGTGGGTTATCTTGGTTGATGTTCTTCCTGGGCTGTATTGTTTTGAATAACTAGAGGAGAGGGAAGAGAACTATAGGGAGAGAAAAAAAGGGAAAAAAAGAGAAAACTGAAAGTTTTCCGGGAAAAAAGAAAGAAAGAACCAATTAAGTTCATCGGTCTAGTTGTTGTTGGTTGAGATGGCTCAGGTTCAGGTTCCGCCTCAAAATGTGATACCGGGAGCTAGCGGTGCTCCTGCAACTGGCGGGGCAAACCAGTTCGTGACGACGTCGCTCTATGTTGGAGATCTTGATGTGAATGTCACAGAATCGCAGCTCTACGATCTGTTTAGCCAAGCTGGTCAGGTTGTCTCCGTTAGAGTCTGTAGGGATTTGACCAGCCGGCGATCACTTGGTTACGGTTATGTCAATTTTAACGCGGCGCCAGAAGGTTAGTTGTTTGACGTCTTGTCCCTCGGGAATATCATCTTTGATGGAAGCGTTTTTCAAAATCTTCTGGTTTATCAATAGATTTGATGAAATTTTTTACGCATAAATAGGTGATATTTCGTAGGGCTTATGAAGCTCTGAGATAGATTAACCGGATCACGTGAATATTCCTGGTTGAACATTTGGCCTGCCGATTTTGGAATTCATTTTGTTATTAAATGACATTTTTGAGAAGTAAATTAATTTTATGAATTAGCTTATTCAGGCATCCTTCTACATAATTGAGGGCTTCATAATTCTTGGCACCTTGCACCTGAATTTTTCATCTATATTGTGGTTAATTATGTTGATTTCCGTTGCTGGTAAGTACACCATGTTGCTTTAGTGAACTTTGAAACCTAAATAGGAAATTGGAGAACGGAATCTATAGCGGGGAAAAGACACATTCTTGTCCTACTACAAATGTGCTGGTATCATTTGTTTGTTCACTGTTGATGCAGATATGGAGTAAAAAAGCCACGCATAGTACATTTAATCTTTCCAAGTTGTAATTGGATTGCTCATTGGCACTCCTCAATTGATGTTGGTTCATTTGTCCTATTTTATTGGCCAAAAGAAAAATTCGTTTGGCACATTTAAAATTACAAATAATTAATAATTAATATTCAGCGCTATTTTTATTTCTAAGGAGCTGTGAATTCTCTCAAGGATAGAAGCTACCTAACCATTTGTCAAACAATCCTTGTTTCATTGTATATAATTTGGTAGGATGAAGTTATGCATATCCAGTTGCTGATCTTGATAAGTGCTGCATTTGTTCTGCGTATTATATGATCTGAAAAGATGGTCATAAAAGACACTTGCTAGTTGGATGGGTTTGTTGTGACCTTGGTATGAGCGAACGAGTGCTTATTGTTATGCATGAACTAGAGACAGTAATACGCCATTTTCCTTTTGGTGCAAAGCAAGATCCGGTAATAATTGCATTATGGATGTGGTACCATGACTCCAGAAGAATAGCATAGGAGGCATTCTTAATGCAATGAAGTTCTTCATTCTGTGGTTGTTGGTAACATGGCTTTTAGTCTAGGCTTGTAGAGAATGCTGGACATCCAAATCTTGTTAGGCTGTAGAGGTCATGGATGTGGTAGGTCTCTTCAGGAAACTCAGACCAGCACTAAGGTTTCCTAACTCAGATTCTAGCCGTCTCATGGACATCTATGCATGCTGCTGACTGCTTCATTATTTATGATCTAGGAATGGGTCTACCAGTTTATTAATTTATTTTTGCACTATTGTGAAGTAGCGTTAGCGTTATTCAATTAGATACATGGACATATGTGCACTTCAATATCTAAAGGCCTTAAACGAGTCTTATCAGTGTGTATTATAGAGCATTAGATACATGGTACCGTATTGTATCTTGTAAACTCATGATGTACGATTGGTGCGTGTGATATGATTATTGTGCAGTTTAAATCCATGCAAATGGAAACGAGAGGATAATTGATAATATCTTCGGAGGTTCACTATTCAATTCCTAATCTACAATCTCGGTGTGATTTTATTAGCTACCAACATTCCCTGGATAACCTTTGATATTCTTATATACCACCCTGGTCTTTGGTCCTTATTATTTGTCACTTGTAAGAATTTTGCACATACTAAGGAGAGCATTAAATAGATAAAATCTTCTATTTTTGCCCCTATTAAGGAGAGTATTAAATACTAGTATATTTCTATCACGCATTCCCCCTCTCTTCACGTTAACTATAATTAATAGGGGCAGAATTGGAAATGAAGCATTAAAAAGGTTACAAGTGACAAATAAAAAGGACCAAGATCTCTCCCAAGAAGTGACAAATAATAAGGACCAGAGTGATACTTATTAGCAGTTTGCTTGATCTTCATTTAGACATAGTTATTTAAATAGCAATAAATTCAAAATTTGACCCCTATGTGATGTTTAACTCAGTTTAATCTTGCTTTCAAGTTTTATAATTAATCTTGCTTGATCTTCACTTGTCTACAGCTGCTAGAGCAATGGATTTGCTGAACTTCGCTCCTCTTAATAACAAGCCTATCCGTATTATGTATTCACATCGTGATCCTAGTATCCGAAGAAGTGGGGCTGGAAATATATTTATTAAGGTAACACAAAAAAAAAAAAAAAAAACTGTAGGTGGTCATTTGTTCAATGTCGTGTGGGGTTCTGACTCTTGTCAATGCTTTTGCCTATTTTTGCTGGATCATTGCAGAATCTTGATAAGGCAATTGACCACAAAGCTTTGCATGATACCTTCTCTGCATTTGGGAATATCCTTTCTTGCAAAGTAGCTACAGATTCTTCTGGCCAGTCAAAGGGATATGGCTTTGTGCAATTTGATAATGAGGAATCTGCTCAAAAGGCCATAGAGAAGCTGAATGGTATGCTGTTGAATGATAAACAGGTGTATGTGGGACCCTTTCTTCGCAAGCAAGAGAGAGAAAGTGTCATTGATAAAACAAAATTTAACAATGTTTTTGTAAAGAATTTATCTGAGACAACCACTGATGAAGATTTAAAGAGAACTTTTGGTGAATTTGGAACAATTACAAGTGCTGTAGTTATGAGAGACGCGGATGGAAAATCTAAGTGCTTTGGATTTGTGAACTTTGAGAATGCTGACGATGCTGCTAGGGCTGTTGATTCTCTTAATGGGAAGAAAATTGATGACAAGGAATGGTATGTTGGAAAAGCTCAAAAGAAATCTGAAAGGGAGCTTGAATTGAAGCTTCGATTTGAACAGACTATGAAAGAAGCCGCTGATAAATATCAAGGGGCTAACTTGTATGTGAAAAATTTAGATGATAGCATTGGTGATGATAAACTTAGGGAGCTCTTCTCTCCATTTGGTAACATTACCTCATGCAAGGTATGCAGGATCTTTTTTGGTTTCATGCAAACTTCTGACTTGCAGGGTTGCTAAAAATACCCCTGTTGTCTTGATAGGTTATGAGAGACCCCAATGGGATAAGCCGAGGATCAGGGTTTGTTGCATTTACGACTCCTGAAGAGGCTGCAAGAGCTGTAAGTCAAGATAATATTTTCTATGTTGAAGGTGATTTTCTTAGTAGTTGGAACTTGGAAAATGTCTATTTATATTTTTTCCCTGATCATGATGTAGCTTTCTGATATGAATGGAAAAATGGTAGTAAGCAAGCCTCTATATGTTGCTTTAGCTCAACGCAAAGAAGATAGAAGAGCTAGACTGCAGGTATGTGTTGCATGAAGCTGAGTTATTTTTATGCTACTCATCCTTAGGTATGCATTACTGAATCTTCTATGTTCATGTGAAACGCGGAGAAATGCATTCTTTAACTGCCTAAGTTGGGTTCGGTCACTTTATCTGTTAATCCCAACGCATAATGATTTCCCTAGGATTTGTGCATATATTAGAAGAACATGGCGGTTTGTTGGGTTTTTCTTACCTCCGTCATGCATATTCCGGATGGAAAATCCTGGTGGTCTGTGATATGGGATGAGAAACATGAATTACGGGGGGTTGAATCTTATTGCATGATCAATGTGATGATCTAGATATGTTGAGTTTTGTATTGGAAATGATTACTGGAATATGCCTATGACTACTGACTATCAAATTCTTTAATATTCTGGTCCTATCCTGTTTATTCAGGCTCAATTTGCTCAAATGCGGCCTGTTGCAATGGCACCTTCTGTAGCTCCCCGTGTGCCTATGTACCCTCCTGGTGGTCCAGGTATTGGACAACAAATATTTTATGGTCAAGGCCCTCCTGCTATCATTCCTTCCCAGGTAATTACCTTTTAACTGTTTACACTTACACTTCAACGTGGTCGCAACTCATCTTGACTTGGAATTCTCTGCTCTCATGATTCATCTTATTTTTATCCAATACTATTCATATTATTGTTTTCTACTTGCCGCTATTCATCTTATTTATCATTGTTTTGAACTCATGTCTCGCCTCACCATTGGATCAGCCTGGATTTGGGTATCAACAACAACTTGTACCTGGAATGAGGCCTGGAGGAGGTCCTATGCCAAATTTCTTCATGCCAATGGTTCAGCAAGGGCAGCAGGGCCAGCGTCCAGGTGGAAGACGTGCAGGGGCTGTCCAGCAGAACCAGCAGCCTGTCCCACTAATACAGCAGCAGGTTAGTGTTAGAAAAGACTCATCATGTATTATTTGTGGAAACCAGCTGTCTGGTTAGAGACATGTTGCCTCATAGTTTTGGGGAATGACAGATGCTTCCAAGGGGGCGCATGTACCGATACCCGCCTGGTAGGGGGCTGCCTGATGCTCCCATGCCGGGGGTTGCTGGAGGCATGTTTTCTGTCCCATACGACGTTGGTGGAATGCCAATTCGTGATGCAGCCCTGCCCCAGCAAATTCCTATAGGGGCTCTTGCTTCTGCCCTGGCAAATGCTTCTCCAGAGCAGCAGAGGACGGTAGGCATTTTTCTTCTTTGTGATGTTACTATATCTGGGTGTGCCCTGGATTTATTAGTCAAGTTAAACTATGACCCACTTTTGTCTGTTGGCTGTTTGTAGATGCTGGGTGAGAACCTTTACCCTCTTGTGGAACAATTGGAGCCTGATAATGCGGCGAAAGTGACAGGCATGCTTCTGGAGATGGATCAGCCTGAGGTTCTACACTTACTCGAATCACCCGAGGCTCTGAAATCAAAGGTGGCTGAAGCAATGGATGTTCTGAGGAATGTTGCTCAGCAGCAGCAAGCTGGTGGAGCCGCTGATCAACTGGCCTCATTAGCTCTTAATGACAGTCTAGTTTCTTGAGAGTTTCATGTTTTGGATTAAACTCAGCAACGGTTGCATTGTTATTGTAGGCCTGGCGTTGACTCAGTTTTCAGGTTGAGTTTGTTTCATCGTAGTAGGTACCACTTGCTTTCGTTTTGGAGGATCACGTTCTCAGTTATGCTTTTGTAATTTGATGCCTTATGATTGCAGTCCGTTTGGCATATCAAGCCAATATCTCGAGAGTTTAAGCTTTGTAAATATGAATGAAGCAGTCATCAAAACAGGGGTAATGCACTCGTTCGGAAATAGCGTTCTGTCTCTTCCTCATCATATTAAACATCCCTTTTGCTAGTTCTCTATATACATGAAAGGGGAATAAAATCGCAACGAGATGCATGGTCTCGACTTCAAAATCAGTGAACACATTCTTAAAAAACATTTTTACATAAATTGGAATGAAATTTTTATTATATATCTATTTTGTATATTATAAAATTACTTTTAAAAATTTTCACCAAAATGTGACTGCGGCTAAATATGACGTATCCATTTGCGAAGGTGCAGTGGAATCAACCGATAGTCACTTGTGAAGATTGGTCTAAAATAATATTTCGGAACTGATGCCTTGTGAAGGTATAATAGAAGTCCGGGGGAGGAAAAGAGAAGTCCAGGACATCCTGAAGGAATGAAAAGTAACACCCGGTAAAATAAGCATTACAGGAGTTGTCCCTAAAGAATATTTTACAAAAAGGAAAATCTAACTGTAGATGCGACTGTAGCCAGACGGGCATCTTGATGCGTTTGCTGAATACATTGGGGGATTGTCGTACATAAATGCAAGACCATTTACGCGTACGAGCTAAGTGGTCACGGAAAGTGTGTACATTTATCAAACCCAGAGGTCTTGCACCACTGATTCAATTGCCCTAAAATTAAAATTAAAATATTTGCCCTCGACCTAAAACACAATACCACGTGAAACCAACTCGGCCAGCCTGTCGATTTGCATGCCTCAAACCTAGTCATGTGGTATCAAAGCAGTGCTTAGCGAATTAGTATTCTCTGTAAGTGTGGAAGTTCCGGCTTCATTTGCCTTGCCAACTTCTTCCCCATAGTTATGCAGCCGACGACCAATCAAATAACGATCGTCACGTATTGAATTATGGAGGTTTGTAAACCAGACATGGAATCGCTTGGCACAGAAGCACAAAAGGCTGACAGAGAGGCATCCCAACCAGGCAAAGCGATATACAGCAGAATTGACCACCAATGGGTACCCGAACACTGGAAACACTCCCCTGGCCAAAACATACGGAACACACAGTGCTGTCAACAGCTTCATTATGATAGGAAGCACGATCTCCCTTAGGACCCAAAGACCTCGCAACCTGGAGAAACCATCCTCCCTCACCCTCTCAAATTTTACTCGCCAGCTTTCATCCACAAGGGGCATCATGTGGTCCAACATAACCTACGTAAAAAGGGAGTGGGAAGTAAGTCAACAAGTCTATATATACAATGCCAAAAACCGATGTCACAAGACAGGGGGTCGCTAAAAAGCAGCCAGGATGACATCCCAATACATAGTTTCTAACGAACCGATTTACTTTTCAAAAATGGTTTGATGGAGCAGCACACATCCTACAAGGAAAATGACGGCCAAACAGGAGACAAGAAGAAGCCACATCCCACTAAACAAAGATTGGTTAACATGGATTGCAGGTCACCATTGCGTTCTATGCCAACAAACTCCTCAAATATAATACTCCCTCTGGTCCTTCATTACAAGTCACTTGTAACTACTTTATCAGAACCAAAGAGAGGCAATTAACTTTGCCTGTAAATGACAACAAAATTTCAAATTTGAACCTATTTAAAACCATAAATTAAATACCTCAAACACTGCATCACACTTTAAGTGTGTTCTTTAAATTGGAAAGGGGGCAATCCTTGAATAAACTTTAGCCAGTGACTAACATATAGGACCACCCATTCTGTTTAAGAGATGCCCAATATGAAGGACCGGAGGGAGTATTTACCAAGTGATCCCATTTACCAAAAGAATCTTGCGTTTTCTGAATGGCAAGCAGCAAAGACTCACTTAACCTCAATTACATGACTATAGCAGAAGACAATATTTTGTCAAACCCCCTTACTCTCAAATTAGGGGGAGGGAACTTTCGTCTGCCAATAATTCATGGACAGCATTTCTAGGAGCCTAAAAATAAACTGATACTTAAATGAATTTGTTTTTTCTGAAATAATAAATCAAATTTACCATATGCTAATAACCCCAAAAGGGGCACTGCATAGAGAGAAACTTACCAATCTAGTCCATATTTTAAGGAAAATAAGCCCCAAAGCCCAGTCTTGATAGAGGAGGAACACTGGACTCTCATCCACCGGAACTCTCATTGGTACAATAACCAAAAGTTCAAATAGGAGCCCAATTAGCACCGGAATGACAAATATCTGGAAACAAAAATAACAATACGCAAGAATTGATTATTATGTTGACACAAACCTAAGCCGAAGAAAGGGACAGTGAAGTTAGGTAATAGAAACTGTTGCCACAAACATTCTTACCCATATAGACAAAAGTGCAGAACTCTTAATAACAATCGCACACCACTTGTATATTTGGCTCAATAAAATTGAAACCCTCCTCTTTCTAATTTGTTCAATAGAGTATCTAGCTCCAGCAACAGCCGTCCATATGACATAGCTTCCCATGATGAAAGCATATATATCTATCCAAATGAAACAAATTACAAACTCATCCAAAGTTGAGTCCAATGAAAAGAAAATCAATCATCTACGTACCATTGCACTTAATGCCATGAGTGATAGGGAGAAGAGGAATGGCATTGAAAAGTGCCCGCCCAAGTGAAATTGGTACAACTATCAGGGCAGAATTGAACACAAGTAGGGTCATCCAAGCAACCACCAGCAACAGTACAATGCGAAGCACAAAACCATAACTGCCAGAGTCACAGTATATTGAATCAGATGGCTAAAAAAATGGCCACATTATAAGAACAAAGAAACTGATAACCAAACCAGCAACAACTATAACATAGGTACGTAAAGAAAGAGTTAACAAAAACTAGATGTTTCTACATATTTCACAACCCAAAGACACAACGATATTGTACCAACACAACCCCCCCCCAAAAAAAAAAAAAAAAAAAAGAGACGCAGCCCCACGGAAAATAAAGAAAAGGGAAAGAGAGAAACATATCACTCATTCATAAATCGGAATTTTAGGCCTCCAGTCAAAGGACTCACTCAGAATCAGATTGTTCATCAATTTCAAAGTCATCTCCAACACTCAAGTCTCCTGATCCAAGAAGGCCCCTGTTCACTTCATTGCCTGCAAAGGCCATCCCACGGCCAGGTACCCCTCCTGGTACAACCTGTAGCCTGTCTTGCCTAGCTGGCTCTCCATTCATATTTTCTTGAGCACCACTATCATCAGGTCTAGGAAGTAAAAAATCAGTTAGGCCAAGTGCCCAACCAACTGCTGTAAACCAGTAGCGCAGAAGGGACTTAATAGTTGTCCTCAGTTTAAAATGCTCAACAGCCAATGGGATACAAATCTGAAAGAGAAGCATGTCGGCTGGAATTTCAGTGAATGGATCAGATACCCTACAATGATACACATAGGATGTTAAAAATTGAGACTAAGCTTCAATTTAATCCACAATATCTATTAAAAAAAGCTAAGGAGCCAGCTTACGATATGTCCAGTGGGAAAATGGAAGGAGCCATCCGCATAGCAAGTTTAACAGGTAAGAATACAAGCATCACAATTAAGCTTCCGTAAACAGCAACAGATAGCAGAACCCTTCGAGCATGTTTGTGAACAGGGTCATCAATTAAATCACGGAAAGGATTGTAGTTGGGATCGGCAGGATCTCTTAGGAAGTACAGAACTCCATGGCGCAAAACCTGCCATTGAAAGTGAACATCATTAGAACAAAAATAAAAATGAAACCAAGGGTTTAACAATATTGCCACGGTAGAAAAATTTGGGAAACTAATAGGTACCCCTCTAAGAAGGCTGACAAATATGCTGATTTGTAGCATGTAGACAATCCCTACAACCCAATGAACCAATGAACTTGCAAGAGGAGAAGCAGAGAAAAACTGAACTCTGTGAGCCATTGTCTTTCCAAACATCCTGATGGTACAAACATCCAGCCACCATCCACACATCAATGGAAATACCCCCAATTCAATAACTAGAAGGAAAGCAACCTTAACCATGGTCATCAAATGCCTCATTGCTGCCAAAAACTGCCTGAACAGAGATGGGATTGTCTCTGCTACAGAAACAATACCGTAGAACCTTCCCATTATTAAAGGCTCACCCCTCGTATAACGAATCAAAGCGACAATACCAAAGTAGCAAAAGAGTAAAGTGAGTATGAACATATATCCAATAGCTAGAGTGGTAACATCAGAAAGCCTTGAAGTTCCAATTGACCCTCCTTTCATGAGATCAGCTGAAACATTGTCACTAATGTTTTTGGACATTTCACTTAATCCACTTGCATTGACTTTCAACATTTCCGCAACCTGGCTTATCAGCCCACTTTCATGAGCTTCAGATGATAAATTTTTAACTGCAGTTAACGCATTTTTTAACGTAATATTTGCTAGGGAGAGAGCTGTGTCTGTAAGTGGGATGACGGTTGCCAATACAGGACCAGTGGCAGTTGAAAAGAACCAAGATAGATAATGGAGTACAATGCGGCCCAATGAAAAGGGCACAAAGATCACGGCACCAAGGAAAATCATATTGCTTGCCAGGACCTGCATAGAAAATGAACCATTTAACAAAGTGCATAGAAGCAAGTTTAGATCATGTCAAACTAAGTTAATAAAAACAAGATACAAATTGCAGTATAAAGAAACTATAGTGTGAATAGAATGAATAATTAAAATAAGGAAAACCAATAGTAGAAAAAGAACTATTCATGCTTCGCTTGATAATGAAAGCTAGGACCAAAATCAATTTCTAGCATGACCGAAACCAAATACCCACAATGGCCTCATAAAAAAGTCACATTAATGCCATTAACAGTATTAATTAATATGAGAATAAAAATATGATGAAAGTTGCAATGGAATTATTGCCATGGCTTGCACCACTTTCATCCACATGAATGAAGATGGCCTTTAACCCACAATGTATTCATTACTCCCGCAATACCTGCTTCCATCCCATAGTCAAAAGGCCAAGCGAGGAAAACTAGCAGCAATTCAAGGTGAGAATTACACTTTCTAAGTAATAAGGTTGAGCATGGTAAGCATATAGTAATTTTCTGTTAAACGGTCCAGATCAGCAAGCCCTTTCCATTTAAAGGAAATGATGAATAATAACATACAAAGGAGAAAAAGACACTTACAGTGAAGGCATTTTCAACCAGATGGAAAACTGGACCCTGCATGCCCACAAGTTCATCAAAAGGTACATCCTCAGCACCATCAGCGTCATCCAGACCATCAAACATTTGCTCCACATGAGCCTCAAGACGCTGTGCTTGCATCTCCAACCGTGCTGCAACATTCTCTGCATTCCTTCTTGGAGCTTGAGCCGCTCCAACAATGCCTTGAACAACACCAACATCCTCAACATTTCCCTCACCAGCAACATTGCGATTAGCTTGTCCAGCAGGCCTTCTAGCAATTCGGGCCCCATTTCTATCCACCTCATCTTCTCTATCAACATCCGGGCCCCCAATTTCTCGCAAATGCCTAAAGTAATCCCTCAAAGAAGTGACCCCGAGAAAAATGAACACGATGCTTGCAGAGAGCAGGAAACCATGTAGACAATCAGTCAGAATAACTGCGGTAGATAAATGACTTAAGAATAACCTCTGGGCTTCACCAAAGCTCCTCACAAAAGCTAATCGCCATATCCAAAATGTGATGAAAGGTATGATAAGGAGCCACACAGATAGCACAAAACTCAGGCGCAAAAAGAATTGCAGGACATGGCACGCTTTCATGGCCATTCCAACTACAAATTCTTGAAAAGGCAGCCTAGCCGGAGCATTTGCAGCATAAACAGGAGAGAAAGAAAAGGCATGTTTGCAAACCTGTAGCAAATGAGAAGTGAATTCATGAATAATACACCAACAAGAGAGGAAGATCTCAAATATACTGCATACATAACGATTTGGGTAATTGGGTCTTAAGAATGTTTGGTGTGGGTGCAACGCCACAGCTACAACCTAGCATAGCACATGCATCATTTTTCCAATTCTCTCCATAAAAGTCTAGCATGTAGGTCTTCAAGTTACTCTTTCAGCTCCAGCAGTTATTCTTGTTTTCTTTTATTTCGGTTATAATCAAAGACATCTTACGCTGCTGAAAAAAGAATGTTTGGCCTTGGTGACTGACAAGTCTAGGGTAACAAGATTAAACGTAAATCAGGCTGCTTACCATTATTCCTTGCGAGATAACAGACCTGATTTCAAGTTAGGGGAAGATTTACCATCGTTCACCCAAATTAGCCCATACACCATATATACATTGCCACCAAAAGAATTGCTACCCTAATAATATATATAAGCACCAGCTTTGTAAAATTAAAAAGGGGAAGGAAAAAAAAAAGCTAAGTAAGATATTGACCAGAAATTCAAGAATACGAAACGATAAAACCAACAGATTCAATTGATCCATATGTTGATCTGTGCTCAAAATCCCCAACAAACAATCTAATCAGAACACCATCGTTAAATTGCAATAAATTGTATTATCTACAAGGGAAAGAGAGGTTTGGAACAAACCTCACATTGACGAGCATTGCTATGACTAAGCCACTGAAGAAGACAATCCTGATGCACAAACTTGATGCTCCCGCTACATGCGCACGGGTATCTGAGAGGATTTTCACCATCACCAGGGTTTCGGCATATCCGACAGACGTCCTCTTCCTCCTCGTCTTCATCGTCATACTTGGCCGACGTAGACGCGTTCGCCTCGTTCTCCTTTTCCTTCAAACCATGAGGCGACGAGGAAGAGGAGCAAGAAGAAGAAGAAAATGAAGGAAAGGAGTTTCCAGGGCTCTCGGCAGCATTGGTGCTAACATCGTTGGAAGGCGGCGGTTCATGATCGATCTCCATGGTCGGGAGTACAGTTAGGTGGCGCGTTAAACCCAACCTGCCGGTGACCGGCGGAGACTCACCGCATCAAGGACCGAGTCCTGGTGAATGCCGAGGAACGAAGAGCGCGACGATATGAGTGCGCTAAATACAAAGATGCGTCGGAAATATCGTCGCAGTTTCGGTTTCCGAGTTTGCCCTCGTCATATGATTTATATAACGAGTATACCCTACTAGGTCGGTGATGTTCGGGGATAAATCGGTCGTACGGAATGACGAAACCGCGTAAACATCAATGTGAGTATCATGAAGGGAAAATGTGTTTGCTAGTCCTTATGATTTTATCAAATTTTAAATTAAATTCTTATTCTTTTTTCTTTCTCTCCTCATCCTTTTCTTTTTAGTTTTTACACGTCCGCATTTTCCAACAACATCCTGCTCTTTTTCTTAAGGGATGTTTAGATAAAAATAAAATTATAATTTTAAAAATATTTTTACCATATACAAAATAAATATATGAGTAAATTTATTTCGATTTACGAAAAAATACTTCTAAGAAGTATTTTTTGAGGTATCCAAATCTCCTTCAATTCTCACACTCTCTCCTTCTTTTCTCTCCTACTGCTTTGATAATGATGACAAACATATGCTCCTCAACTCTTTTTGTTTTGTCTCAAATTTTTGTCCCTTAAACTAATTAATTACACTGTCACTTTGTAACTGTGTTATTAAAAGATATGTTTAATTAGTGATAAGAAAGGAGGAGTTTGAAGGAAGTGGATTCAGCTCAACGTAGGGTGGCGATTATTTGAAACGCATTGGGTCATTTTTCTGGGAGGGATTTTATAAAGTGGCTCTTTCATGGAAACGGAGCTGTGATTTTATGATTGGACGGTTTTTGGATAGTGTTGTTGCCGAATTGTCGCCATCCATTTTTCTCTACTGCTTTCAGGAGGGAGTGCGAATGGAAGGCGAGCGACAAAGAAGGGAGAGTGTGGTTAGTAAAAAGATGATGATGGGGAGAGAGAACAGTGCTTGCATTAAAGCAAACTGGGTGGAGGAGGGAGAAGAAATGCAGGAAGAAGGCGTCACATCAGTCTAAACTAATAGAGAGAGTGACGGAAGGACCCCAATCAAAAGCGAGCATACAATAAAAATTCAATAAAAAGAAAAAAATTATGGAAACCTAATAGGGTTGAGTAACCAAGCCGTAACCTGGCAAGCCCGCCTGCAGCCCGGAATTTTTTAGCCCGTTTGAGCCCGCCTATTAAGAGCCCGAAACGGGACGGGCTTAAATGGGTGGGTTAACACACTAAACGGGCAGGCTACAGGCTAGGTATCGGGCTGCCCGTGCCCGCCCGTTTAGTGATTATGTATTATTTTAAAAAAAAAACCCTTCAGGTGGCCCATTACTCAAAGACAGGCAAACAACCCAATCCAATTTTTCCTAATTCCCATCCCTCCCCGCCTGCCCGACAGATTACTAGTTTTTTGCCCTAGCTTGGTACTTGACTACTCGATAGATCCCATCCCTCCCTGCCCGACGATCGTGAGTTCTATGACAATGAGTGAGTGTGATTGTGAACTCTAGCTTTCTTTTCTCTTCAGTTTCACTCTACCTTGCTTGTGAGGCTGAACGGCTGTGGCTTTTGCGTCGTGACGTCGTCTGCCTTCGCCCTCCATTCCCAGCCTTTGGCTTCGTCTTCCACACTCAATAGTTCCAATCTTCCTCTTCCTCAGTTCCTCTGTTCTGTGTTGTCATTGAAGCTGGGTCTAAGTGCGAACTTGACAGGCGACGGTGGCTTGAAGCTTTAACTCCACAGCAACGCCAACTTGAACGGTTGAAGCTCAGAAATCAACACCATTAGTGAGTTACTTCTCGCTTTCTATTCCTTCCCTTCCCCCTTCGTTTGATTACTCTGTTTTGTTAATTGCTATTGACTGAATGGTTAAATGCTGATTGAAAAAAGTTGCTATCAGGCAATCTGAATTATTAAAGGGTCCACTTCCGAGTTATATGGCAACTGGCATTGCTCTATCCCTAAATGTGCCATTTACAAGTTTCATGGAATCTTTGAAATGCATTAGAATTTTGTTTACTATTTTTCTTTACTCATTATGTTTATTTTCTGAACTCTGTCTATGAGTTGTTTTGCAATTTGCATTGGTTGAGATTCTGGATTTCATATTTTGAGTGGCTTAAGCTAAGTTGATTGCATGTTTATTTCTAAATTTCTGGTTCTTAATATGACCCTGTATTTTTGTTCATTTTGTTTTGGTTCTTGATTAATGATTGTAGTTATTTAAGTGTGGTTTGTCATTTATTTGGTTATAAAATAATTGTTTATTGTATTTTCTTTGTGATTTCTGTTTATAGTATTTTCTTTGTGATTTTTGTTTATAGTATTTTCTTTGTGATTTGTTATTAATTTGGATTGTGGAGGAAAATGAGCAACACAAAAACTCCAGTAGATGATGTGCAAAAGAATGAGGGGGTACTAGTATTGTTAATATTACTACCACATTACCAAATCAACAACAAAATGCTCCAGTAGCAACAAATAATGAGGGAGAAGAAGTAAGAACAAGAAAAAGGAGGAGGCAAACATTTGAAGCATGGAACCATTTCACTAGGTTGCCACTAGCTGAAACAAAAGATGCAACTATTATGGGATGGATTATGCATGCCACCCAACTAATTGTGGGACAAAACAATTATTGCGACATTATGAGAAGTGTCCCAAAAATCCAAATAAAGCAAGCAAGTCACAATCTCTATTCTCAGTCTCTGGTGATAAATTGACTCATCAAGTGTACAATGAAGAGAAGTGCAAAAAGGCTGTTGCAAAATTCATTATAAAGGATGAGATGCCTTTTCCAATTGTTGAAGGGGAGGGTTTTAAAGAGATGTTGCAACAATTTGAACCAAGATTTAAAATCCCCTCACGATGGACAGTTGCTAGGGATTGTTACCAAGTGTATCTTGAAGAGGCCAAAAATTTGAAAAAACATTTCAAGCGACATAAAGTCCGTGTGTCCCTCACTACTGATTGTTGGACTTCAATCCAAAATACTAACTATATGTGTTTAACTGCTCATTGGATTGGTGCTGATTGGAATTTACAAAAACGGATTTTGAACTTTTGTGTCATTGAAAACCACAAGGGGGATACAATTGGTGCCCAACTTGAAACATCTTTATTGTACTATGGCATTGATAAAGTGTTCACAGTAACTGTTGATAATGCCTCTTCTAATGATACAGCAATTGCATATTTGAAAAAGCGTTTGAGGGGTTGGAATGGTCTCATACTTGATGGTGACTTCATGCATATGCGGTGTGCTGCACATATTCTAAATCTGATTGTTTCCGAAGGATTAAAAGAAGTGAATAGGTCAATTGAGCTCATTCAACATGCTATTAAGTTTGTTAGATCCTCTCCATTAAGGTTGAACAAATTCAAGGAGCTTGTTGTTAAGGAAAGAGTTGATTCCAAGAGTCTACTATGCTTGGATTGTCCCACAAGTAATTTATATAATTGTTTAAATTTGTTTGTTTCTTTACACATTATGAGATGTGATATTGTTATATTGATAAAATTTCATTTATGTTATTAGGTGGAATTCAACATATCTCATGTTGGAAAGTGCTGTAAAGTTTGTCAAAGTCTTTGACAGAATGGAAAAAGAAGATGCAGATTATAAAGAGTACTTTAAAAAGAAAGTTAGACTTGATTCAAGCCAAGATGATGCCTTCTTTGATGGTGAAGCTGTTGATATAGTTCAACCTCCTACTTCATATGATTGGGATGTTGCAAAGGAGTTTCTCGTGTTCTTGAGGTTGTTCTACTCAATGACCTTGAAATTTTCTGGATCCAATTATGTGACAACAAACACTTGCTTCCAACGTATAGTGGCAATCCAATCAAGCCTCCATAAAAGTGCAAGTAGCTCATATTCATTACTGACTGACATGGCTGTTAGGATGCAATCAAAATACAAGTACTGGGGGGACATGGAAAAAATGAATCCATTATTGATTGTAGCAATGATCCTTGACCCTAGATTCAAATTGACGTATGTTAATGTTGCTTTTGATAAAACTTTCCCAATGATCCTATAAAGCGTGAGGTCACATTGAAGTTTGTTATGAGTGTCTTGTATCGTCTTTATGATCAGTATGCACTTAGTGATGCACCTTTTGATGAGGCATCTAATTCTCAATCTCAGCCAATAGTGGATAAAGTGGATGCCACTACTAGTGGTGATAAGAAAAAGGATTTAGTTCCTGAGGTTGAAGAGGTATGTTTGTCTGCCATTGACCCTACCTATCAGGAGTTCTTAGTCACCGCAAGCACAGTGTCTAAGCAACCTGAGCAAGTTTCTGAGATTGATGAATATCTTCAAGCTGGGTTGGTTGGCTTAGATGATCCCAATTTTAACCTTCTAGCATGGTGGAGAGGAAATGCTTGCAAATATAAAGTTCTCCATCTCATTGCACGTGACTTGTTGGCTGTACTGGTATCTACAGTCTCCTCAGAATCTGCTTTTAGTATTGGAGGTCGAGTATTAGATACTTTTAGAAGTTCTTTATCTTCACGGATGGCCGAGGCACTGATATGTGCTCAAAATTGATTGCGTACAAGTCACCCCAACTTGAATGAATTTGATTTTGATAATTTTGATGAGTCTGCTAGTGTTATTGCTAGTAATTGACTAATTTCTTTATTATTTTGGGTTTGCATTGCTTCATTTTCTTTATATTAATGAATATAACTTATCTTTTATATTGTAGAGCAAGACTTGGTAGTTTCAAGTGCAACCATTTCAAGTGGATCTGAAGATGATGATGATACTCAAGATCTAGTTGAATGACTATGTTGTTTCATCTTTTATCAAATTTCAATGATGTATTGATGTTGTTGTATTGTGATTTTTGAGACTATGTGTGACTTAGAAGGTGGAACTTCTACTATTAAACTTTGTGTTGGTTGGATGACTTAATTCAGATATTTTTGTGAAGTTATTTTATAATTATAGAATGTTATTTGGCAAGTAAAATTGTAAACATTATGTAGTAGTTTCGGTCGATTGCCATTCAGGGGAAAGACTGAAAGAGGGGGAAAAAAGAAACGGGCTGCCTGTAACCCGATTAGCCTAAACGGGCTCAGCCCAGCCCGTTTAATTTGAGTTAAAACGGGTTGTAACCGGGTAACGGGCTAGCCCGAACCCGTTTAACAATAAACGGGCGGGCTACGGGTTACCCATTGGGCTAGCCCGTCCCGTCCATTACTCAGCCCTAAAACCTAATTAAAAATTTAAGAAAACTACAAGGACAAGTAAATTCATTTTCCCCATTATTAATATTAATGTTAAATTATTTTTTTATAATCAAACTTTTGATTTTAATTTTGTTTGAGTTATTAATTTAATCCTTGAATTTTAATTTTTTTATCAATCAAATTTGTTGTTTCATAATAATTTTGTGTTCTTATTTGATCTTAGTGCATCAATAATGTTTTCTGAAATCTATAAAGAGGTTGTTATTTTTGAGCTAATAATTAAAATGTTTAGGATTATATGTCCTCAAATCACACAAAAAAATATACGGTTATGAAACTTTAAAAACTCAATTGATAAAAATTCAATTTTAAGGACTAGATCAATAATTGAAACAAACTTAACAGATGCAAGTAGCTGACACAAACTTCATAGGTGAAAAGTTTTATTATTTCTCCTTTTACTCAGTAATATTCTGTTCACAAATTACTTTTTTAATATTTGCAAATGTCTAATCAAAACGTCGCTTTAAACTTGCCAAGTATGATTCCATCTTTGCCTGGCGAGCTATCCTCAAATCATGCATAAAAGATGTTTTATAAAGATTGACTAGCTATATTAAAATAATAATAAATAAATTATATAAAATGTGATTTATTATAATTATGTAATTTAGTATTATTTAATTTTTTAAAATCCATTTATAAATTAATAAACTGAGTATATAAAACAACTAGAAAAATTAATAGAGTAGTTATAGTTTCAATATATTAGGGAGGGTGTTTCGATAAGAACAAAATTATGATTTCAGAAGTGTTTTTACAGTATACAAAGTAAATATATAAAAAAAATTGTCTTGGCTTCTGAAAACGTTTATGAAGTTACCAAATACCTTTTCGTGGAGCTTTTGTAGTCCGTTTCCATAGCCTTCTTTGTTGTGGTGAGGGGCCCCATACGCCAATCTTAAGTTTTCCTCCAAATCACGGTTTGGGTTTGTTTGTAGGCTTACTCAGCGGCTTACTAAACGCTCTAGTAGGTCTATTGTTTTTGGGCCGTTTACTCGGGTCTTCTTTCTTATCCGCATTTTTACCAAAAAAAAAAAACACCCTTTTGCCTAATATCCAAGACAAGCAAGCATCACAAAACTGAACCATTCATCATTCAGCCTAAGAGACCAACATCTGAACACAACACTCTTCTTGGAATCAGACATAAGAAGCATCCAGGTAAAACCCACATCAAATCATCCTGCTTATTTAGAAGTAGGTTTTAAAACCTCCTCTCTTCCGGATAATAAAGGCAAGCAAAGAACCCATAGCTCTTAGCAAACTCAACAACATAAAAGAGTATCACAATAAAGAGATTTCACTAATTCCATGATAGATTTATTGATGCTGGTAAGACAACAATAATCCAACCACAAATTATATTCATAATCAACACAACAAGGCCAAATCAAAATCTCAAATAAAGATATAGCCATGCATAATTATTAAAAAGATAACCTAATGCACAAGACTCCACTAGGTGGAGCCTAAAAAAAATAGATGTATGCAGTCATATCCGCAACCGGATTTTCAGGATTGAACTCATAACCTCAATATCATATGGGAGCAAGCTTACCATTGCTCCAAGACTCATTAGTCACCCTCTATAATGCATAATCATTATCCCTCTAAAATTTGTAATATGTCTTATTTTAGGTTTTTGAAGTCCCCAAAACATACTCTTATCTAGGATCATCATTTTGATTATTGTTTATTCTATAATAAGACTTATGTATGAAGTGATTTATTGATGAAGGCCTTTTCAATTACAGAATTAGTCATTAACGATGAAGCTAATCATAGGTTTTTTAAAGTCAAAAGTATCATTTCATTATGTTCTCTCACTTTAATAAAGCTGATTTCTAGCACGGTGAAATTGTGGGGTCACATTTCCGGAATAAACGTTAGAAAGAAAGATCTGAATTGGAAGTCATGATATGCGTTTCCCTTGAAACTTAGCGTTGCCTAAAATCGGGTTTCTAAATTTAGTCCTTTTTTTAAACCAAATAAATTTAGTCTTATGATCAGTGTTTTTTTTAATTAAAAAAAATTGGTCTCCTTGATCAGTGGTTTAAGTGCTTTAAAATGTATGAGTTTACTTTAATTTTGTTCTTCTATATAGTAGGTCCTATATAAATATATTATATTTTCCTCTCTTTCCTTGCCTCTTTTTTATTTTTAATCTCTTGAGTGTGCCAGCTTTCGGTCACATTCACCAAGAGAAAAGGAAAGCAAGAGCATTTGTGATAATCATTCGTGTTCTGTAAGACCTGTAGCGATTAAAGGTGAGATGCCGATTAAAAGCTACAAAGAAACGTTGCAAAGTGTAGCTATCAGCTCTGTGTAATTCTAATTCTTTTCTTTTCTTTTTTAGCCAAAAAATGATAGTAATTCTTGTAAGTAGGATGAAGATATACCCAGCATCCCGAAATATTTTCTCAAGCGTATCCAATACATTAAAATATTTTTTAGGTGTATCCAATACCGTGAAATATTTTTTTATGCATCTAACACCCTAAAATATCTTTTAGTGCGTCCAATATCCTAATGCACCTAAAAAATATTTTGAAGTGTTAGATGTACTACAAAATATTTTAGAGTGCTGCTGGATATAACTGAGAAAATATTTTGGAATACTGATACACCTTAACCCCTTGTAAGTATTATGATTCGATGGATCTTTAGGAACATCCATCCAGATCAAAGCTAATAGATAACAATAACATTCCATGCTAGGGAGAATTACGTCAAAGCCCATCAACATGTGATTTAGACCAAGCAAAAAGGAATATTTTGTCCAATTGGCAAAGAAACTCCTCTATCCAGCGGCAGGACAAAATATTGGGCTCACGTTGGACCAGAAAGTACAGTAATACAAACCATAATTATTTCTCAGCTGATAACGCCGTGCATGCTTCATCCTTTTGTTCCCCCAGAAAGAGCATTACAGTAGCTTTTCTTAAACCATGCTTTTTTTTTTTGGCTTCATTTTCTCAAGTATCGTGTCGGATTCATGAGAAATCTTGCATTATACAGAGTGTACAAGTCAATTTTTGTGATTTTGGATTAGTCACAAATACTTGGTGTGCATGATTGCTAGGCTCTGCTTAGCCCCCACGTCATCAGGAGGGCGCCTACACTATATTGTGCGTCTCTTCTTCACTTTTGCAGCGTCCTTTATGACCTTCTCTACCATATCTGGTGACTTTGCTCGTTTCTCTCTTTTTTTTTTTTTTTGGTCGTTACTGACTTACTGTTGCTTCTCTTTCCTTCTACCAACCATGCCCGACTTTCTTTTTCTTTTTCTTTTTAATGGGACAATTCCTAATATCTATGCGTATCCACAACAGGATTTTGGACTGTCGGTGGAGGGTAAGCATAAACAAGCATCCTATGACGTTTTTGGTTGGGTCTTCCTAATTTCTTCTTATCTGATTCCCTGTCTGCCTTTTCCTCAACTTTCAGCTCCAACGTTACTTTCTCTACTCATTCCAACTCTTCCTTCTTCAGACCAGAAATAATGACAGGTAGATGAACCTTGAAACTGCCTCTTTGATTCACTTGGAAGCTAACGTTGTTCAGGTACGAGCTTTGGCAATCTGAGCCTCCTACTTATTTCCTCTTAACTGTGATGGTTTCTCCTAAATCCTCGTGGCTGCTCAGTCAGTTGCTTGAGTGTAGCATTTGAATTCTCAAATACTGATAATGCTGGTGCTTTGGAATGTAAAATCCATATCTGTACTCTGAATCTGAAAATACCTCGAAACCTTCTCTTTAAGAATCATAACTTTTGTATCCAAAGGTTATGATGGTTTTAATAGTCTCATGCGTTAGAGTATGAAGTTCATGTTACTTCTAGCGTAATATAGTCTTGTTCCAACCACTATATCTGATATGTGTTTCCAGCTCACTTTATACTGTTAGAAGTTTAAGTTATGAAGGCTGAGCTTGCAAGACCTTTCCAATGATTGATATGAAATGAAGCATTTTTCAGTTTTTGTTCTTGCATAGTACTGAAAAATATGAACCAAAAATCATGGCTTTGGAAGAAAAGATCAATGGAGAAGACAATCTTTGCAGTGGACAAAGTTGCCAATTCTTCAAGGACCACAGAAGCAGAGGTACGGAAAATCATTCACTACCCTTATTCTTGACTCTTAAAAGGTTGTCTGATAAAAATAAGCTATGCGGGCATTTCTTACGAACCAGAACCATAAAGTTTTTCCATATGTTTGATCCATCATTTAAGAACAGTGAAACTTCACTTCAATATAGAGATCTTAGATCTGATTTATTATAATTATAAATTACTAGGTACATAATTTTGCAACTGTTAAGAATGCTGGAGCCGAGAGATCGTCAAAAAGTCTGAATGAGAAGTTGGCTTCAGTCCTCCTTGATTCTCATGAAGCAGAGGGCTTTCCTCCAAAACTTGAACAGGTGTCCCAAGAGAAAATTAGAGGTAGCTCACTGTTATATGTTCATCTTTTCTCACTCTTTTATTATTCTGCTGGAGGCCATGAAGCATGGACACATAACACGAAACAAAAAAGAACATGTTAGATTTCAAAAAAGTATAAAACATAACTCACAATCACACGCACATGTTTATATATCTTGCCAGTATTATCCCATATTTTAAGTACCTTGCACAGTCAGTTTCCAAAAGAAAATGTACTAAATAAAAATATATTAAATCGTACCATTCAAATTATTTATGTACTTCAAAAGATCTTAGAATATATTTAGTGACATCATCATCAAGATGGGACTTCTAGTTTCAGTCTACTCGTATGGGGATTTTCTCTTGTTTTAGGGACACCAATATTTCAATGTCCATTTCTCATTGTTTGGAGATTATTTCCTTCAGATATGCTTTTTGCACATGCTATTGTTTCTGCATTCTGGACATCCAGTCTGGTTTGTGATTTTGGCTGATCAAACCAACCAATTTCTAATCAAGTTCTAGGTGAAGATAAAGCAACAGAAGAAGTGGAGTCCTGTGAAAAGGAAGAAGATGTAGATTTGATTAAAGAAACATCAGCTGAAAGTATGTCTGGTGCTGTACCAAATTTATTGAAAGAACATGAGAAGATTCAGAAAGAGTTGGAAGAAAAGTTGCAGGAAAATTGTAAAAGGCTAGCTGACTTAGCCGTCGAGAATGCTAGTCTAACTAATGCTCTTCTAGCCAAAGAGAAATCCATTGCAGACCTGCTAAATCGTAAACGTCAGATTGATGAAGAATACAGTACCCTAGCTGATAGATTAGATTCCACAATGAAGGAAAATGCTTTCCTCAAATATGAATTTCACATGCTTGAGAAGGAACTTGAGATTCGAAAAGAAGAGATGGAATACAGTCGTCAGTATGCAGAAGCTTCTCATAAACAATATCAAGAAACCATTCAGAAAGTCTCCAAGTTAGAAGTTGAGTGTCAGAGGCTCCGTCTTCTGCTGCAGAAAAGGTCACCACAGCCTGCTATGGTGAATATGAAGAATGAAGTTGGAACTATGGGAGGAGATAAAGATATGAGAAGAAGAATAAATCCTGCCAGAGATTTGATTTATAACAAAACTGCCAGAGGAAACTCTCCTGAAGTATCTAACAAGAGCAGCAGCTTGATGATCAAACGTTTGCAGGATCTGGATGAGGAAAACAAGGCTCTTAAAAGGATTCTGACCAAGAAGAATTCTGAACTGGAATGTTCAAGAAATATGTATTCTCAAACAGCTACCAAATTATCACAGGCTGAAATTCTACTCAGAAAGCTATCTCAAGATCACAAGTCCATGGAGCTAGCAAGGTGTTATCCTGTATCAAATGAGCTCTCTGTCATAACAAAGTTTGATATTGCTAGTGATGATGGGGTTAGGTCTTCAGGATCCTGGGCAAATGCACTTATTTCTGAACTGGAGCATTTGAGAACTGGAGAGACTAAAGATCGGAAGAACTGTAAAGCCATTGAAGTTTCAGAGATGAATTTGCTAGATGATCTCACTGAGATGGAGAAGCGGGCTATAGTTTCAGTTGATACACCTAAAAGGGAATATTGCTCTGATTTAACTGGTAGAGAACTAGTGCCGCTTGAACAAGAATTTGGCTTCAGTGAGGGGAAACAGGATAGGCAATTCGAATTTGCAACAAATGAGAATTCATTTGACTGGCTTCAGATTGTTTTGAAAGCCGTCTTGGAGCAGCAGCGCATATCAAAACGAAGTCTCCATGAACTCTTTGAGGACATAAAAATTGCTTTCGGTTGTATAACTCCCCCAGCTTCCCGTAAATCTAGTACTGCTCAAAAGTCCAGAGATTTTAATAGTTTCTACAGTGCTGCAGAGGAAAAAAGCAGCCAATACCTGAATTCTAATTTGACAAATTCAATCAGTAAAATTATCAAACTGATTGATGGCATTTCTCCTGTGTCATTAGTCAGCAACAATTGCCCAGATGATTGCTTGAAGAACCAGCATTCCAGAATACCTCAATCACCAACGTCCAAAGAATACTTTGTCCACGTTTTCCAGTGGAAGCTTGCTGACTTGAATCCACTTCTCCATCGACTTGTTCATACCTGTAAGGATTTGTTAACTGGAACAGCTGATCTTGAAGAATTTGCACAGGAGGTAGCATTTGCTTTGGATTGGAGCATAAATAATTGCGTCAGCCCTGCAAATTCTTCAGTTGCAAGGGATAAGATCAAGAAGCATTTGAGCTGTCATGAAGCACAAAATGGAAATGAAAACCAAATAGTTGAAGATAAGACGTCTTTCTCTTCCTCAGATGATCAATGTATGTTCTCTAACAAGAAGGATAATCTGAATGATCTCCTTGAAGAAAACAGAAAATTGAAAGATGAGCTGACGAGTAGAGAAACTGCGAAAAATAACTTGGAAGCAAAGCTTCAGTTAGTGACTGAGGAGAGGCAGGGTCTCGAGAAACAACTCCAGGAAGCACAAAATACCATTAAAGGACTGCAATCGGAATTGGAGACCCAGAAGGAATCCAATGAAATATTTGTAGATCAGATTGAAAAAGAGAAGCTTATCAATGAAGATCTTGATACTCAGTTAACAATATCACATGCCAAGTTAAATGACATCTTTCAGAAACTGTCATCTTTAGAAGTCGAATTGGAGGATAAGAAAAACTCTTGTGAAGAATTAGAAGCAACGTGTCTAGAGCTTCAACTCCAGCTAGAAAGGTAATGCCGTTTCTGTTCTTATCCCACTGTTTTGTAATTATCTTTTCTGGATAACAATTCTGATTTTGAGAATATGAAAATTGAACAGTATAGCAAAGAAAGAATCTCCCAAACATGACGGACATGAAGCCGAAAAGATACATCAAACGGTAAGTTCTATACGTCTTGGTGACCACATGATACAAAGTGGCACTGCCAATGCAATGCTTGATGTATTGTAATGGGGTCGTAGAATCTGGTCAGTGGTTATAGCAATTTCTTGTTTGGTATGTTCCAATGGCTTAACATTGGTTGACATTTTCAATTTTAATTCTCAGTTTACTTAAGACGTCAAAACATTTTTCTTTTTAACCAATGAAATAAAATCTTGTATTATTTAATAAAATCCCAAATCCTAGTGGAAATAACTAGGGAAAAAAAATTTCAGGGCCTGGAGATCACAACAGCTTCATCAAAGTTGGCAGAGTGCCAAGAAACCATATTAAACCTTGGAAAGCAACTGAAGGCGCTGGCTTCGTCAAGTGACAGCGCACTTATTGATAATGTTTTCTTGAAAACCAGTGCTATGGCCAACCCGACTAATGAGAAGAGCTTGTTCAAACGGTCCTCTTTGCGCAGTCAAATGCAAGCTGAGGATGATACTAAATCAGGGACCCTTCACTCCTCCCAAATTGAAGAAAATAAAACTACTAGCGGTGTCCAGAAGCCACTCCCTCTTCAGTCTGATAACAGCAATGTTCTACAAGTTCCCAATGCTCCGGAAACAAATCTAACTTCGGATCAAAATGATAGAAGCAATAATGCCACAGGTGCACTGGTTATGGTGCCAGCTAAAAAACAAGGAGGATTTGCTTTACTGAGAAGGCTGCTGCTAAGAAGGAAGAGAGGAAGGAGTAAAGGAACCCAGTCCTTAGCCAAAACATGACTCTCTGAAAAGGCAAGAGAATTCTTAGGTGTGCTCCTTGCACTTGAGTTATATACAAAGAGGAAATAAGAACTTGCCAAAATGAGTTAGTGGATTTCACCATACAAATGGTCACTTTGACGAGTTTTTATTACTTCTTGTGCCAATCTTTAACCAAGGAGTGTTTCAAGTATCCCTTCACTGGGACCAGGCCCATGATTTGTGTTTAAAATAATACTTGCCTCCCATGACAATCAATTATTCTGTTTGAATGTGATGATTGATTGATTTTTAGTATGACGTGCTTTTCACTTTATAGACTAGCATCTTTGACGATTGGGTTTGGAGATTATTATTCTCCCGAGTGAGAGTCATTTAACTTTGTAAATATCGCTGGTGTACATACAAGTTGGATTAAAGATAATTGAGACTGAACTTTGGAAGAGGTTACGCATTTCTCCATAGCATTTTCAGGACTGATGAGTTGCACACATAATTTGCTGTAAATATGCTCGGAAGGTCCTTCTGCAGAAAGCACACAAGTAGTTAATGAATTGCTTTACTTGGTAGCGCACACCTATTGCTTCATCATCTTACCTTTTCCACAAGTCTCTGGTCTACGGAAACAATTAACATGAACTTGAGAGAACTCTCAACAAAGAAACGCAGCCCTTGAACATTAATTGCTTTAGACTGGAGCTAGACGATTGAAGCAATTATTGGACAATTTGTCATCACATTTTTTCTGCTAACAGGATAAACGGTGGATTTTTTCTTAATAAGGCAAACAGTTGAATTTTTTGTTAGTCACATTACTACAGTGATCTTAATTAGATGCTCTATAACTATCCCCCCACTCTTGAAGTTCTTGCCTAAATTACTACGTGTATAATTTTCTTTGAATGAGAATATCATTCTATAGCTTCCATGAAGACATCAATAACAATAATCACACATGCAAAAGGTCTAAACTAAAATGTTATTCATAAAAGTTCAAATCACCTAAATAAAAAGATCAGAGCAAAAAAAATACTGAAATTATGGTTAAAAATATTTCATTAAAATAAATCTTGTATATATGATCAAATGCATTGGAATGACTGGTAGCAATTCAATTTTTTAATGTTGTACATCCAACAAAAACGAATCATACAGAAGTCAGCTCTTTGCTATGGCATGATCCTTCATTTCTAGCAATGCATCCTCAAAGCACTTAGCAAGGAACTTGGGGTCAGGAATGACGTCTTTAGCCACCTGGATTTGCATGTCAGCCCTTCCGGCATAGCTCACCATGTTCAAAGTGAGTGCCTGAATTACAAATCATCAGTAGTCAATTTGAAGAGCATAAAGCCATAAACCTAATATTTTATCTGGAAAGGTATAAATGCAAAGAAGATTAATTGGGTTTAGGGGCTGTACATGAGGCAAGGCAGAATTCATTGCCCTCAAGAAAGTTATAGGGTTGCCGCCAAGCATAATCTCCTCTTGTGGACCAACCACATTTGAGATTGTAAATGTAGTGTTGCAAACAATCCTGTAATTTAGCAAGCAAGCAAACTGCAATATATAAACAGCATTACTTGAGCAGGATTCAGATGGTAGTTGGAAGTTTAATGTACTAAAAGATACTGGCATTTACGGGGATGGGGGAGAATTAATATGCAGACCCAGATAGATCCAAAGAATCATATATACATGTGTAAGCATGTTAGCACATTTAAGTGGGAACCACTCTTAACGTGTTCATATCTCTAGTTACTGTAATAAACCCACTTGGTGGGGACAAGATGTACCTTTGCTCCAAGATTTGACATTACAAAATCTCCAACTGTGTAAGAGAAGTAAGCCTCCAAAGATCGTTTTTTTCTGTCAATCATTGCCTTAGCTCTTCTCACATATTCTAAAGGATCAGAACAGTTACTTCCATGATATGATATTGGAAGCAAAATCATTCCAAATTTATTACCCCACCTTGCTCCTGAATTGCTTCTCATCAAATTCGTTAGATCCTGATCAGCATTAGTCATGTTTATCCAAGCTCAACATTATATTCTCAGTGAAACCTGAACAATAAATATAGAAAGCATGCACACAAGGAAATTATATTTGGGAAGAGTATACCTGCAAGCCTTGCTGTGGCCTCAAATTAACCATAGCTAACCCTGTTATCCGAATCCCATTTTTCAACCCTGAAGACAGGAAAAAATATATTGTGAATTTGACTCTGTAAACGCACACACCTCTGGCTGCACAAATAGAGAGTAGAGAGGCCGGGTACAAATGACTCACCATTTGATCCTCGAAAATCCAGGTATCTTGAGAGTCCCGACGATATGATTGCGAATAGAACATCATTTATGGTCTGTAGTATAGTGTAGATCAACGAAACACAAGTATGGAAAAATGTATTCAGAGTTATGCTTACTTACATGTCTAACTTCTACTATATAACGGTGGAAGGCGAAATCTCCACATTATCACATATTAGTAGCACTCTTATATCAAACAAGAAGAAAGGGTTGCCTTCCCCTTATTATTAGAAAATTTAATCGGCGATCGTCCTTTGAAGGAGAGTCTTAGGCCATGGTACATTGCAAATCTTCGGAATATGTGGTGAATATCAGGTCATAACATGCTTTAAAAATATTTAAGATAAGGAGTTAAGCCCATTAAGACCTAAATACGAAGTCATGCTACATGTGACACTATATATTATATAATATAGTTTAAGCAAATGAAATTCTATAGGGAAGAAGCGCAATCGACCTTTCCCCACCCTTTCTCTAGGGAAAATCAATCCACTCTAGGGCAATAGTAAATTGCATTTTGTATTCAATAGTCTACATATAATATCTATATACAATATAAAGTTTATAGTTGGCAAAAAAAAAGTTTATAAATCAAATAATGTGAGTTTATAGCAAAAAAAAAAAACTGTATTTTTATGAGGGAAGTATAAACGAAAAATAAATAGAGCTTTTTTTAAAAGAAAATTTGGGTTGAAAATCGCCATATTTCTATCTTCTCACCGCCCTTTGGGCAATCACGGCTCCAGCGTCTTTTTTTCAGGCCAAAGCGTCCACGGCTGTTGAGTCCGGACAAAGAAAAATTGTCCAATTGTGGTGCATCAGAATGACATGGGACAATTGGATGATCCAACACGGCAGCTTTAATTTATTAACTTTCCTTTCATGCCATAACACGCCCACGTATTTCAAAGAAAGAGTCGGGTCAAACTCTCTCAATCTCTCACCACAATTGAGACTTGAGATTCATTAATCATTATCATGAAGTCATACTCGAGTATGGTCGAACCTAGAATTAGTTATTTCAAAATTGAAGTGATTTTGTTTTTTCATTTACAAACTACAATCCTGAATTTTGCCTAATAAAAATTAAATCCCACCAAACTGCTATTTGTGGGTCAAAATCTTTTTAATGCAGGGAAAATGACGGAGATAATTCAACATGCGCCTTAAGTCTATTTCTATTTCCGTTTTATCTCAAAAAAGTCTACTTCTATTTCCGATATTTTTTCCTATTAAAAAAACTGCCTTTAATTTTTTATTTAAAGAATTGATAATGACACAATTATAGCTGTTTTATCCAAAAAATCGCTTTATTTTCTACTTCTTTATAATTTTTCAATTTTACTAGTGGAGAAAAACAAAAGTTGCGGGATCAGCGACTTACAGCGTTGGTCACGGCTTTCTTCACCACCTTCATATCATCCAAGCGGAACTTGGCCGTCGCCATCTTCCTCGGCCAGTCCTCCACCCCTGCGCCGCCGCTTATCACCGTTCTCCGGTCACGAACCCACAAGCACCTCAATACAAAATCAATGGAAAAAATTACACAAAACCACAGCGTAACCACAAAACCCCACACGTTCCTCCAATCCCTCCAATTCCTTCCACTGCTCTTCTTCCGATCGAAAGAAACTATCGTCGGCGGCGCCTCTGGATCTTCCACCTTACGGCAGCTCGCAAGAAACATGGACATCAACGAAATTCCATCGCCTAAAGCGTGATGGATTCGGAAAATCAAGCACTTATGGGCAATTAAGAAGTGTACTTCCCACAAGGGTTTGTCTGTGCTGAGTCCGGAAGTGTCCATGCACAACTCCGCCAAGTAATCGTTGATTGCCGATTCATCGTCGCCGGCAGTGGCGGAGATGGGGTTGGCGATGACCTTGATGTGGCGGTCGATGTCCACCTCGGTTCGCCGCCAGTGCTCGAATCCGCGATGGTTGCGGACCATGAGGCTGGTGAAGCGTGGGTGTTGGAGCATGAGAGAGTCGCGGATTAGGGGTTTGATGGAGTCGACATCAATGGGGTTCTTGACTCCGATGACGCAGTGGATTACCTGATTCGTGCTTGGCTGGAGGAACAGCCGACCGGCGGGAGTGAGAGGTTCATCGGAGTCGTTCGCCGTGGACCGCATGAGAGAATCAGTGATGCTGGGGGAGAGAAGAACAAGTTCTAACCTGCAGCCAATTTTAGTCCCGCTGTGTGTGAATTCTGACCCCAACTCTTTGCAGCTTATTTATTGTTATTATGAGCTGAGGCTTAAACTATATGAAAGCGATGATTAATTTAAATTAAAGTATGTAGCATTGCTGATAAATATTGGAAGATTGGTTGTTTTCCATTTCTGGCATGTGAGGCAGGCAGAGCCAGGCAAAGGACAACTGTGTTGGAAGATAATTGAAGTGTTTAGATAAAAAACAAAATTATAATTTTAAAAGTATTTTTAAAATTTGATTTAATTTAAAAAAAATACTTCTAGAAATTGTTTTGGGTTATTCAAACACCCTAATGTCATAGGTTATAAGATTGGCAGGAGGGTGTTTGAAATTGAGGATAGGCTAAAAATTGAGGCTCTCCGCTCTTTTTTCACCAAAAAAATAATAATAAATAGAAACTGCATTGCAAAGAAAATTCAAAGAGGCAATAAAGACAATAAAAAAGTTACGTTCCCTCGTCAACCACCAACTCTCCTAAAACTTGAAGGTTGATCAGATATAAAACTTAGTCTTCATATCATGGCCGACTTAGAGCTTGTTTGAAAATTAAAATGATTTATAAATAGCCTGTTAATTTATGAAATATAAAATAAATATGAAAAATGGATTTTATCTTGACTTATATAAACGTGTTTATTGATCATGAATCTAAACAAATATTAGTTGAGTGATGATCAAAAGAAACAAACACTCCTGAAGCTTTAAAATAATATTTAGAGGGAATGTTTGTGCTACTATTATTTTTTTCAATAATTAGTCACAATTAATAGAAAACTACAATACTCCTTGATCGAGAATTTTCAAAGAAGGAAGAGGTTAAATCTTCATCGTGGAAGGATGGAGATCGTGGTTGTGAAAGGGGAAAGAGAGTTTTACTCACGGGCAAAATAAGAATTTGTAAAATATTACCAACACAAAGTGGATAGAAAATATTCAATCACAGTGTAGATTTTTCAATAGCAAAGAATGGTGGTATTGTGTAATTTCATGTAAGATGAGATTGGGATTGGACTTCCCATTAACCATGCCAAACATGAACATTTTGTGTTGTGTTATCCCAATCTCAAGCTCTTAATCATACATACTACCTCCAGTTTTAATATAAAAGCTAATTGACTAATTTAACTAATATATTATAAAAATTTGTTAAATTAATTATTTATAATAAATAAGTGTTATCTTTTCTTAAATACCTTTGTTAATTATGTGTATTAGTTAAAACTACCATTTAATGGAATTATTCACATATGTAACTACTACAAGGACTGTATTTAAAAAAAATTAAGTATGGAAAACAAAGAAGTCAAACTAACTCTTATATTAAGAAGTGAAAGTAGTACGAAATAAGGTCTCGTATTTAACGCATAGAAGATGAGGCAAGTTAACTCTTTATTTAATCTGCTTAATTATTATTTATCTTGGAATATATATTTTTTTCAAAAATTAGTCGTTTAAAATAAATTTTAAAAAAATTCTTTATTCTTGCACCAGCATAAAAGAAACATAAATGAAAAAAAATGAAATATTTTTATTTGCAAATTCTGCCAAATATTTTTTCTGATTAATATCTAGGTATCTTTTTTTTTTTGCAAGCATAGATATCCTCCTATTGAAGGTAGTTCTGTTTAAGGCACTATCGGGTCAATGTGGACACCTCTTCAAATGAAATTTTGGTTTATTATGTTATAAGAGACTAGTTTCTTCTGTTAGACCCAACTATTGTTGGTATCCAGACATCTTATTTCGTACAGTAATAAATCTCTTTTTGGGTTGGGCTTGAATTGGGCCAGTGTTTATCACAACAAACCCAGAGTTGTTGTTATGGATCGGGTATCTCAGATTTTGGAAGCCCTAATCCAAGACTATATAATTCTTTATCTTACCACCTCGCCCTTTTAAAGCGGCGAAGGGACTTAGGGTTTTCGGAGACATAACAATGGAGCAATCACAAAATCAAGCGCTCGAACAAGTTCAGTGCTTCGGCCGCAAGAAGACTGCCGTGGCCGTCACCTACTGCAAGCGCGGCCGTGGGCTCATCAAGATCAATGGCTGCCCAATTGAGTTGGTCCAGCCGGAGATCCTCCGATTCAAGGCATTCGAGCCGATCCTTCTCCTGGGAAAGCACCGATTTGCTGGGGTCGACATGAGGATCCGTGTGAAAGGAGGTGGTCACACGTCGCAGATATACGCTATCAGACAGAGTATTGCGAAAGCCCTTGTTGCGTTTTACCAGAAGTATGTTGACGAGCAGAGCAAGAAGGAGATCAAAGACATCCTTGTTAGGTACGACAGAACCTTGCTGGTTGCTGATCCCAGGCGCTGTGAGCCTAAGAAGTTCGGTGGTCGTGGTGCTCGTGCAAGATTCCAGAAGTCCTATCGTTAAATGCTTCGCTTCAAGGGAAAAGGTCTCTGTGTCGATTTATATTTCAATTTCCGGTTCATGTTTCCTGCTGTGGAAGACTTTTGATATCGACTATTAGTTCTATAATTTTGGGCGTTTTTATTTTATGGATTGTTGAGATGCTATTATTTATATCGAGCTTTTTATTTAGGTTTCAACATGAGTATCAACGGCTCTAGTTAATTTTGCTTTGTGAGATAGCAGTGTTTGTGAATTCAAGGATGCTTAGATGCTTAAAATTTACTATGAGTTTCGTTTTTTCGTTGGGTAAGAATCGACAATTTGATTTGTTTAGCATCGGCGTAACGTAATATGAAGTATAATCTAATTCTTAGTGGAATGTAGCAACTTTGCTCAGTACACTCTTTTCAATGTACATTTAGCATGCTTTCAGGTCTAGTGTTTCATCCCTTTTGATTTGCTTGGTCTGGTTTCTTCGTGGTGGGTCCTGATTATGTTCATCGGCGGCTGATGATCCTTGTTCGATATATCTATAGACTGTGAATAATTATGGTCTCTATGCTTAGATTTATTATCTCTAACAGAAGAGATTGTGGTTATTGGTACCTGTTTCTGGAACCCATGTGCTGTGGTGCCGGGGTGGATGTGGTGCCGCTATTGTGTGAAGTCGAATCTTTATGCCGTGTAGTATGTTGCCATCCTTTCTTCATTAATGATTCAGTTTGTTTAGCCTAAATTTGCTAAATAGTGATATTGTTATGAATTTGGGGGGCAATATGAACCCATGGTTCTGGCGGACTATAGGGTCATCCTATTCTGAGGTTAAAAACATAACTTTCTCTTGCATCAGGATATTTTTAAGGTTTATCTGGATCTGGCGCATTCTTTCCACATATCATTTGGTACTTAATCTGGATGAGTTGTTTTTTTTCTAGTGTGTTAAGATTGATTTATGCGTTAGCATTGAATTTAATTTTCCGTGGAAGTTTTGAAGGGATTGATTATGCTTTTACTGCCACTGCCCAATCGGTTTATGGTGCCAATATCCCGAATGAATGGGTGCCTTCTATCCTTGCGGTGCCAATCAGTGATTTTTCTGGGCGGCTATATAGTTGACCCGTTTTTCTAAGCATGACTATGATGCCAAGTTTGACTTAATTGGGCCGCTTAGTATGGATTTTAAATGTATAGAATTGTGGGCGGGATGAGTGTTTTCTCTTTTAATCTGGATCTTTTAATGATTTGATTAGCTTAGATGTAATTGGCACTACTTTTGATCCTTAACATTCAGTGCCTGTTTGGCATCACTTATTTTGAGCTTATAAGTAGCTTATAAGCTCCATAAGCTCTATAAGCTCGATTGACACAATTGGGTCTGTTTGGATGAACTTTTTTGCAATCGGGCTTTTGTCTGAAAAGCTATAATAAGCTATAAGCTAAAATTAACAGCTTATGGGTCCGTTTGGATCAGCGATTGAAAAAGTAGCTTATTAAAAAAGTAGCTTATGAAAAAGTGAGATTGGTAAAAGTTAAATTGGATAAGCTGAATTGTGTTTGGATTAGAGTTTAGAAAAGCTAGTTTGTAAAAGTGAGATTGGTAAAAGCTTGTTTGGATTATAGTTAAGTAAAAGTAAATTTGGTTATAAAATGACCAAAATGAGTATGAGTTCTAATACGTAATGGAACATGATAAAAAAATAATTTCATATAATATAATAAAATTAAAATAATTTATTATGAAGAAGTCAATTTTAATGAGTGAATTAAATTTTAAAATTTTAAAGAAATCATAAAAAATATTTTAAATATAAAGTGAAACATGATAAAAAAAAAGTTTCGGAACTTGAATATTTCCTTATAAGGTTATGAATGACTATTATTGCACAAACCATGTATACTATATACACTTGTATTTGGAAGTCGTAACTAAGCCTATTTCGTAAGATTTAAAATGAACAATAATGAAGTGATAATTAATTTAATTAATTTTTTTAAATATTCACATATTAATTATTTAGTTCTTATATTAATAATTAGTGTATATATATATTAATATGAAAATTTTGATGTTTATATTTTGTACTAGAAAGAATATAAGTCTAAGTTTGAATATGATATAGTGTAATATGATTTAAGATAAATTCTTTTAAAGGCATGGGCTCCGACTTTTTTTTTTATAAATCTTCTCTCTCTACTTTTCCAAAAGTCATAAGCTTCAAAAAGTAGCTTATGGCTTATGATGGCTTTTCATCCAAAAGCTCAATTGTTCCAACGCCATCACAAACACGCCAATTTTTATCCCACCTGCACAATCGTACGTTTTGGCTCAATAAGCTACTTTTCTCCCACTGAAACGCTGAACAAACAGACCCTATGACTTACAGCTTATGATTTATAGCTTTTGAAATATGGAGAGAGAAAAAGTTAAGAAATTTATTACCTCTTTTGGTTTATGTTATAAGCCTCAAATAACTAATTTGTAGATAATAAAAAATCAGTTAAAATTAGTTGAAAATAATGAATAAGTTAGAAGTATATTTTTATTTTTAAATATGCTCTTAAAAATATACTTTTATTTTTTCATGTTTCACTTTATATTTAAAATATTTTTTATGATTTATTCATATTAAATTATTTTAATTTCATTGTATTATGTAAAATTATTTTTTTAATCATGTTTTATTATTTATTAAAACTCATATCTATTTTGGTCATTTTATAACCAAATTTACTTTTACTCAATCATAATCCAAACAAC